ATGGAGAGGAACACCCAATAGCATATGCATCCAGGATTTTGGCTAATGCAGGAGGTAAATATGCGAAGATAGAGAAGGAAGGTTTGGCAGTCATATTTAGAGTCAGGAAGTTCCATCAATACCTTTACAGATGTAAATTTGTAGTAATAATGGACCAAAAATCCCTGCCAGGTCTGCTTAAAGAGGACAAGGCAGTGCCACATCAGGAAGGCCGAATTCAGCCCTAATACTAAGTGTGTATAATTACAAGTTGGAACATTGCCCGGATGCAAAGTAGCAAATGCAGATGCATTGAGCCACCTCCCACTGGCAGATACACCATTGGTGGTACTGCCACTGGAAGAGTGAATAATGGTTTTAAATTTTCTGGGCATACTTCCAGTCACAGCTGACAATATCAGCCTTTGGATGCAGAAAGATCCAGTCCTGGCAAAACTGAAACAGCCGGTGGTGATGGGGGAAACCAAAGGACTGTGACAACCAGAAGTGAAACCGGCTTGGACCTGGAGAGACCAGGCCACAGAGAACAGCCGATTATTATGGGGAGAGAGAGTGAATGTCCCGAGCAAAGATTGCCACCAGATACTGGCTGAACTCCATCAAGGTTACCCAGGGCTTTCCAAATGAAGATGTTGGCAAGAAGTTATGTTTGGTGGCCAGGAAAGGATGTCAACATAGCTGTGTTGGTAGGGCAGTGCCCAGAATGCCAACAATGACAAGTTTCCTCCAGCAGCTCACCCACATTCGTGGGAATGGTCGAGTAAATCCTGGATTGGGTTACGCGTCGACTATACTGGTCCTTTCATGGGCTCAATGCTCTTAGCCATTGTGACGCCAGTCAAAGTGGTTGGACATGCATAGAGTTCAATCGTCAAACACAGGGGCAACAGTAGAAAAATTGCATGTATCTTTTGCAACACACGGATTCCCAGAAGTGCTGGTCACAGATAACGGGCCATCATTTACCAACAGGGAATGGTATTCATCATATGAGGATAGATCCATACCATCCATTATCCAATGCTCTAGCAGAAAGAACAGTCCAAACTTTGAAGGCAGGCTTAAACAATCAGCCTGCAGTTTCACTAAATACTGAACTGTCCTGGTTCCTATTTGATTATAGAACCACCCCTCATGCAACTATAGGGATGGTTCCAGCAGAATTGCTAATGGAGAGAAGACTCTGCATTGGGTTAAATTTGATCTTCCTGGACCTGGGGGCAGAGGACGAAATGGCATCAGGAACGCCAATGCCGAACACAAGACTATGCTAAGCAAGAGAGACAGTTTACTTCAGGGGATAGTAGGAACTGCAGATGCTGGAGAATCCGAGACAACAAGGTGCAGGGCTGGATGAACACAGCAGGCCAAGCAGCATCTTCAGGGGATGAAGTTTGGTGTAGGAACCACAGGAATTTCCCTGCATGGGTAAATGGTGTGGTCAACGTGAGGTCAGGTCCAGTGATATTTAAAGTTTGGGTAGGTGCAATGGTCCGCAAAGAGCATTTGAATCACATGACGAAAGCTGCAAACTCTGAAACGGAGTGGAAACAAAATGTGCTCAGCTCCTCAGCAGGCTTTCTGACTGTTCTGGAACTTGTGGGTTCTTCATCTCTGTCTAGCTTTGAAGATAGTTTGGAATCTGAGATGGACAGGGTGGATGTCGCTCGATTCCTTTGCCACCTGAAGAGGAGATTGAATTTCTTCCGAGACACTCCAGGCACAAGAGGCGAGCTACGGTGTTACATGCTTCCCATATCAGACGTAGAGTTGTAGGAACCTGACCCAGTGATAACACCCACCGAACCCATCCGCACCCAGGAGGAGCTACAAAAAAATCTAGCCTATGTCCTCAGAATCAGACGGGAAGAGATGAAGTGATTATAAAAAGGTCAGGCAGGTGGATCTCATAGAGTATGAGTTCCCTCATTGGGGCTGTTAATCAAATCCAATCTGGGAGCCATTGAGGCTGTTAATCTGGTCCTATCAGGGAGCCCTGGCTGACAGATAAGAACAGGAATGTCACACATCCTGCTCACATGGAGAGCTGGCCCTGAGGGGAGCTGGATCAGTTTCAACGACTCCCCACATGTAAATAAAAGGGTGACTTGGTGACAGGATACCGGCCTCTGTGGAGTAACTTCACTCAGCGTACAGCCAGCCATGCCATACTCGCTGTGTAAAAATAATTGACAATTTAAAGTGCCCACACAGGTTTGAACACTCAGTGAGAACTCTACATGTGCAATGGCTGCCTCAGAACCCATGATCCCAAATGTTCAGCACCCGACCCTGCACAGGGTCATTATGCATAGCTTGGGAGGGCCCTGCTGTAACCATTCTATGATACTGAAATTGATTCAATTCTCTTTTGAAAGTCACCAATCAATCTGCTTCCATTGTCCTTCCAGGCAGTGCATTCTTGTGCTGTCAGTAAACATTCTTTCCTTCTCTCCCACTGGTCATTTAGCAGATCCTCTTCAATCTGCGTCCATCTCATTACTGACCCTCTTTCTGCTGGAAACAGTTTCGCATTATTTACTCTATTAAAATCACCCCCACCCCCCCTTAATTTTGAACTCCTTGATTCAATCTTTCCTTCACATTCTTAGATCTAAGGAGAACAATCCCAGCTTCTCCAAGTCCCTCATCCCTGAATCAACATCCTTTCTCACGAAGTACAAAGCAAGCGAGTTACTGGGAGGATCAGGGACTCAGAGATCGCACTGAGCTGAGTCAGAGCCTTAAGGAGGGAGTGAAACAGAAGATTCAAAACCATCCAAGATTTAATTCCCTCAGCATCATCACTCCCTCTCTCTGAGGCTGATTGACTGCTTATTAATAATTGATTTTTGTCTAAATGGCAGAGAGAATAGATTAAACTTCTGCACCCTCACTCACCACCACACACCTTAAAATAACTGCTGAAGGATACTACTTAGAGCTGGCCTGTAACTTAAAAAGCTTTTAAAAGGTCAGCTCATTCTGGGAGACAGCCAGTCTGAGGCAGAGGTATTTATAGAAAATCCTGTATCAGGTAACCCCATTCAGAGAGACCAGCCACACATTCATCAAACTCTCAGTGCCCGTCGAAAATCAGGGTTTGAGACTCGATGATCCAAGGGGTGTCAGTGTCCAAACTTGATCATTGTATTTGTCTAACATGGGCTAGACCAAGATCCTCCTGTGGAGGTTGGGAGACCCTCAGTGGGATGTGGATTGTGTTTTTCACATTCCTCTATTTCTGTCTTTCTTTCTTTCTGACATCCATTTCTCTCTCCTGTCTACGTTGCATTCGCTTTATCTTTCACTCTCTTGGTGTTGAGCAATGGTAACTGTGGGGAGGGCGAGAGGAGTGAATGGCCACCCACACCATCAGACCCCCCAATCCCACTCCAACACTAGCATGCCCACTGTCCCTAAACCCACCTCCCACCTTTACTGCCACCATCCCTGTTGCCCCCAACCCTACCCCAGCCCTCCTAGACAGAGGATCTGGGCAGCCTCCCAGTGGTCTCTGGGGCTAAACCTCCACAGCTCAGGCAGGTGTGCATTGAATGTGATTTCAGTGGCAATGTCCAGCCCTACAGCAATAGTACTCTCTACATTTCATAACCGCATCATTCTCACCAATCACCTACCTGATTAACCCTGGCATACCCCAACAAACCTGTCTGAGGGACCTCAGCAGCATCATGCATCCCTCCATCCCAACCGTCACTCTCTTGTAGATTCCCCCTCTGGTTTGTTCACCAACTCTCGTTCTCCTTATTTTCGATGATTGCCCTAGAGGAGGAAAAGGCATTAGTTTCCTTTGGGACAACAACCCCCTGTTCCCAGTTTCAGGCAAATGGGTTCAACTCCTGCTTTTTGTTTCTTGTGATGGGCCTGTAGAAGGTCATAATTTTATGTTTTCCCCTCCATCTGCCTATCTAACTTTCCTTCTATCCATCTCTTTCTCCCTCAAACTCTTCCATCCGTCCACATTGTCCTTCTTTATTCTCTATTTTCCCTTTTCTGTCTCTCAAGCTCTTACGTTTCCAGACACTCTCAACTTCTTCTGTCTCTGGCATTCTCTCATTCACTCACTTGCTCACACTCCATAGCTGCCATACATTGACAGATCCACCGTATCAGTTACAGATTTCATTAATTTTCAAAATGGTTACTTTCAAATATAAACAGAGCAATAAAAGTATATTCATCTGCATTTAAACATGATCTCACTCATAACAACTATAAATCTCACACTGAGAATCTCCTCAAAGACAGCTCATTATCCTAGTATGTCACTTTCAGCCTGTCATTTGCTATCTCCCGGGTGGCCACAGTTAACTTTCCTCCCATACATGTTTACATTTTTAATGAGACAGTGTAGCGAGTATTTTTCTTTCAGTCTAAAAGAGTGCAGGGAGCTTTACTCTGTGTCTAACCCCATGCTGTCCCTGTCCTGGCAGTACTTGATGGATACAGTGTAGAGAGAGCTTTACTCTATGTCTAACCCAGTGCTATCCCTGTCCTGAGAGTGTTTGGTGGGTTGTGGTTTCATCATGCTCTGTTGAACATGTGGTATTCTATGGAGCTTCAAAACTCACTTTGAAAAGTCTACTTTCATTAGCAACAGTTGTGAATTCCAAATAAGATTGCCCACACCCATTTCACAGAATTCAACTCCATTTAACAATTACACCAGTAATAAAATCCCATGGATAAAACCCATCCCCTTCACTCCCACTGTACACAATCCCAATGGACACAAACTCCTTCCCATTCATTCTCGCTCTACACATTCCCACCGGACACAAGCCCATTCCCACTGTATACAATCCCAATGGACACAAGCCCTTTCCCATTCATTCCTACTGTACACATTCCCATTTGAGACAGACCCCTTTCCATTCGCTCCCACTGAACTGTTTGCCAGTGCTTCTGTAGTTCTGTGTAATCTGTTCATTTACTACTTTGTGCATTTCTATTGAAAAATGAAATTAGTCAATGAGTAAGTTGTCTTTTTTTTATTTGATTGATACAGAAGGCTGAATCGAAGCTAATCCACCAATGATGATTGAAGTCTGCTTCTGTTAGAGGAATCCACTCCAGCTCTATGTGCAGGAATATCGAATCAACCGAGAATGGTGCCTTGACAGGAATTATCTGACCTCATTGGATTTTCTGATATGTAGTTTGTTGAAGATTTTGAAATATTCCTTTACCAATCAATTCTCTGTGACCTTGATGCATGTTATTCCCCGTTCTCTTTGATTCAAAATTTCCCAGAACAATTCACAGAAACATTCGGTTTGGAATTTGGGAATTGGAGAGTGGACTCTATTTCTCTGACAGACAGATTTGATGTGCAGTCCAATCAGCACAGATCGATTTTTCTACGAGGTGCAGGGGGTGAGAGTTTGCAGAGTCTTCTCTTTAACCACCTCATTCGCACAAAAACGGAAACTACCGGGAAAAATAAGGAACAGGAATTACAGAGTTTACAATAACACTGTGAAAATCAAACTAGGTATATTAATGCTATGTTTACATTCCATGCACCCCACTTTATTCCATAGAATTAGGAACCCGAAAACACTGGGCCTCTCAATGTTGCTCGATTGGTCAATTAAGTAAAGTTTCCGTAGAATATAACTGTATCCACACATGTTCACCCAACACACTCTTTTAAACATGATCAGCAAATATCACCAACAGCACAGAATTCCCTCACAAATGACCTTCCGATAGCACGCACTCTCTCAGTGCTGACCCTTCGACAGTACAGCACTGCCTTAGTACTGACCGTCCAACAATGCAGCACTCCCTGCATATAGACCATCTGACAGTGCGGCACGCCCTGAGTACAGACCCTTCAACAGTGCAGTGCTCCATCAGTCATGACCCTCCAATAGTGCGGCACTCCCTCAGTACTCACCCTCTGACAGTGCAGCACCCCCTCAGTATTGACCCCCAACAATGCAGCACTCTCTCAACACTGACCCTCCGACAGTGCAGCACGCCCTCAACACTGACTCTGCGACAATGCAGGATGCCCTCAACACTGACCCTGCGACAACGCAGGACGCCCTCAACACCGGTCCTCTGACAGTGCAGCACTCCCTCAGTCCTGACTGTCTGACAGTGCGGCACTCCCTGAGTACAGACCCTCCAACAGTGCAGCACTCCCTCAGTACTGACCCTCCGACAGTGCAGCACTCCCTCAGTACTGACCCTCTGACAGTGCGGCACTCCCTGAGTACAGACCCTCCAACAGTGCAGCACTCCCTCAGTACTGACCCTCCGACAGAGCAGCACTCCCTCAGTACTGACCCTCTGACAATGCTGCCCTCCCTCAGTACTGACCCTCTGACAGTGGGGCACTCCCTCAGTACTGACCCTCTGACAGTGCAGCACTGCCTCAGCACTGACCCTCTGACAGTGGGGCACTCCCTCCGTACTGACCCTCTGACAGTGTAGCACTCCCTCAGCACTGACCCTCTGACAGTGCGGCACTCCCTCAGCACTGACCATCCGACAGTGCAGCACTCCCTCAGCACTGACCCTCTGACAGTGTGGCACTCCCTCAGTACTGACCCTCTGACAGTACGGCACTCCCTCAGCACTGACCCTCTGACAGTGCAGCACTCCCTCAGCACTGACCCTCTGACAGTGCGTGTTCTGGCTGTTCTATCAGCAATGATTAAGTGCAGAGTTCTGGATTTTAGTGGTTTGTGGTTTGGAATCCAGCATCTCCTATAATGCGAGTGACTAAGCTAAGCAATGCCTAACCTGGCGTGGTCCTTCGCTCGCACCAAGCTGATGCTCTCAGCTCCAAGCTTGGGCTGGAATATGTTGATCACATTGTTGTTCCACAGAAACTTCACTTTGGTAACATCACCCACATTCAGTTCTGCATCAATGAGCGCCCAGTATGTTTCACCTGGACGAAGTTTCGTTCTAGAAAAAAGCAAAATATTGCTGACTCAAACCTGTGCTGTATTTCCTGCTCAGTGTCGCATTTACAGATTGGGGGTTGGGGATTGTTCTGTCCTTCAAATGGGTTCCTGCATGAAGCAGCTCTCCCATCACTGAGCATTGAAAGTGGGTTTGACCCAATGCACTGAATATCCCCTCATAAGGAATTGTACTGAGGTATTCTATCACTTAATAAAAGTTACAAATATATTAACAAGCGATACTTTGATAAAGGAATGAGTGTGATAATTTCATAGGCTTGACACAAGACCCTCCCAACATGAGTTAGATGTGTTTGAACTGGGGTATACTGCCTGTAAAATACAACACTTGTGCAAAGCCCCCCATCCTCATACCCACCCGAAGCTGGTCCACTGTCATCGGTAGCCACCAGTTTTCAATAAATCATAACTTGCCAAATGAGTTTGTTACCATACCAACTGCCTGCTTTGCCATGATAAGGGTGGTCTAGGCAGGAATGGGAAGCTCAGTTTTTTAAACCCTAACTGAACAAAAGGCAGAAAGGAATTGCAGGAGGAACTCAACAACCTTCAGGAGTGAACCTTGAACTTACTGGGGATAACTACGTGGGGGTATGATCAATAAGTTTTCAGATAACAGGAAAATTGATGGTGTGGTAAATAGTGAGGAGGAAAGTCTCAGACTACAGGACAATATCATTGGGCTGGTCAGACAGCTGAGAGAGTGATGAATGGAATTTAATCTTGAAAAGAGTGTGATGATTCTTTTTGGGAGGATAAGCAAGGCAGGGGAGTACATGTTGAATGGTAGGACCCTAGGAAGTACAGAGGATCAGAGGAACCTTGGGTTTGCATGTCCATAGATCCTTGAAGGTAACAGGTTAGGCAGATAAGGTGGCTAAGACAGCATACGTGATATTTGCCTTCATTAGCCCAGACATTGAATACAAGAGCAAGGAGATTATGACAGAGCTTTATATAACGTCAGCTGGAGTAGTGTGTGCAGTTCTGGTTTCCACACTAAAGGGTTGCACTTCGGCGGGTGCAGAGGAAATTCACCCAGGATGTTGCCTGGGCTGGAACAATTCAGCTGTGAGGAGAGACCCGATAGATTGGGGCTGTTTTTCTTAGAGCAGAGTAGGCTGAGGGGGGATCTGATTGAGGTGAATAAAATTCTGAGGGTTACAGATAGATAGAGATTAACTTTTCCCTCCAGTAGAGGATCACTAACCAGGGGACATAGTTTTAAAGTAAGGAGCAGGTGGTTTCAGGTGGATTTGAATAAATATATCAGGAACTCACAGACTTAAAGAAGGTGGCAGAGGCAGGAACCTGTAAATATTTGATGAGGATTTAGATGAGCATATGAAACATTACACATACAAGGCTTTTGGGTTGAGTGCTGGAAAATGGGATTAGAACAGATGCTTATTTGATGACTGGAGTGGACATGATGGGCCGAAGGGTCCTTTTCCATGCTGTAAAAACTCCATGAGGCCAATATACCTCTCTTCAAACTTTCCAATCTGCCCTCCAAAACCAGTTTCCCCATAGCACCCCCCCGATCCTCACCCCTGTTCCGTATCTTCCTGATCCCTCCCCACCCTAATAGCTTATAACTGATCACTCTCTGCACAGCGTAAAGCCTTGGCAGTGCCCAACACCCAGTTCTGGAGCTACTGGGTTTCCTAGAGCTGCCAATCACTCTGGGCTTGGGGGGGATCACTTCTCCCAAGACCACAGAATGGGATCTCTCAGCCACCGAACCTCTTTGCCTAAGCAGTGTGAGTCCCTCCTTCTTAAAATCCAGGTCTATGATGATCCAATAGATATGTTGAAGACACTGGCACTTACTTTGTGATTTGATGCTGTCGAGTGTTCCCTTTGGATCCATACAAAGCAACATGCAAAATCCCATAAACAGAGTGAGAGCCTGAGAGTGTCACAGACACATTGTAACGCCAAACTGAGAGGTGAGGAGAACACAGAAAGGGGTTACAGAGTCAGGCACAATTATAGAACCCAGTGTGACTGTAATGTTGGGATAGTTGTATAGGATTTACACATTGAGGCCCAGGACTGTATGAAGTCTAACAGATCTATTTAAAGGTTTGAATGAGTGAAGGTGAGGTAAGAGTGAGCGAGGGAGAGGTCTGAAGGGGCATAATGTTTGGGAAGCACGAGATTGGATGGAATGAAGGTTGAAGGAATGAGGATAATGGTTGAGGGAGCGAAGTGAGGTTTGGTGGAATGAGGTTGATGGTTGAGGCAGCAAGGGGAAGGTTTGAAGGAGTAAGGTGAAGTTTGAGGGAGCAAGGTGAGGTTTGAGGGAGTAAGGTGAGATCTGAGGGAACAAGATGAGGTTTGAGGAAGTAAGGTGAGGTTTGAGGGAGTAGGGTGAGGTTTGAGGGAGTGAAATGACCTTTCGGAAAGTGAGTGTGAGATTGGAGGGATTGAGGGTTAAGGGAGTAGGACCAACGGTTGAAGAAGTTAGTGTGGGGTTTGAAGCAGAAGGTGTGAGGGGGTTGAGGAAGAAAGGATTGACAGAGTGAGTGTGAATGCTGATGAAGTGAGTGTGAAGACTGAGTGAGTGAGTTCAGGGATCAAGTTTGAACATTAAGTGAGTGTGAGGGCTGAAGTGTGTATGAGAGGTTTGAGGGAGCATGACGTTGTGAGTGTGAGGGCTGAGGAAGTGAGGGTTGAGCCAGTGTGGGGGCTGAAGGAATGAGGATCAAGGTAGTATTGGTGCTGAGGGAGTGTGGGTCTGGTGACTGCGAGGGTGGAGGGAGTGAGAGTCAGGGTAGTGTGAGGGCTAAGTGTCACGTGCGTTCCATTAATTTTGCATGAGAGGGATGAGGTGGGAGTGTGGGCACGTTATTTGCTGCTGGGAAACTCTGGAGGAGGGGGCGCAGGGAACGCTGTGGAGGGCTAACAAACTGCTCCTGGGTCAGGCTGACATTCACCTCCATAGGGGCTGGAGTCTCCTGTTTGAAGGTAGAAGGTCTGATGTAGTAGGCCAGGTGCTGGGCGATATGGTCCAATCTTGTATCCCATTGTTGGACAGCCGTCAGCTGGACACGCAAAGCACTTCTCCTGGAGTACACACAGTAAATCTGCAAGTTCACATCACCACGTACATGGGTGGTCAGCTTCACTCTCAAAAGTACAGGAACTGGTGCAGAGAACGATCCCAAAGACATGTGACAAAAGACCCTGATGTTGCAGGCCTTGTATCTGCAATCGGGGGAATCTGTCAGACTCCACACAGCCCAGAGTTCAATATCAAACTGCCTGACACCCCAACAGAGAGTATCAGAAAAGCCTTGGGTCTAAATGCCCTTGGGTGGGGGCAAGTGGAGTTCTCAAGTAATTAATTACCCTAATTTGAGATAATCCATTTTCCAGGATTGGTTTTGTGAATCCCCTGTATGATATCGAAAGAGGCCATTCTCCCACCCCACCCATCCAGTGAGTACTTCTCCAAAGTAGGAATGGAAGGCAGGTGAAGAGTTGTTGGAGGATAAGTGAGAAATACATTAGTGCTTTAGACTGGGGCCTCGGGAAGTATCAGATAGCTCACTGGCACCACCTAATGGTAGCAAAGAACCTTTCAGTCAGACTCATTCCACTTGCTGGGAATACAGCCTCAGAGCTTAAGTGATCAATGTGGAATGCTGGAACAATTGGCATAGTTGGTTCATCCTGAAAGGAATCTTTGCACGTCTTCCCTTCATGTTTTTCAGATTGGGAGACTACGTTCGGTAACTCAGTCATCTCCTTTTCTCACGGATGCTCAGTGAAACTGCACTCAAAGGAGAGACTGTGCAAACTGTTAGCAACTATCCAGCTCAACAGACCGGCACACTTACTGCAAAAATGCCCAAAACCTCATCTCCAACCCTTCAGCAGATGACTCAGCCTCCCTTGGAGACAGTGTACAGTAGCCATTGTCCCCATCTCACTCCTAGGGCAGGTAAAGCATGGAGTTAGATACAGAGTAAAGCTTCTCTACTCTCTTAAGCTGAAACTAAAATTTCCTCTACGCTTCCACATCAAACTCTCCTAGAACAGGTATAGCACAGGATTAGATACAGACTAAAACTTCCTCTATTCCTTTAAATTGAAATTAAAGCATCTACTACTCTTTTAAACTGAAAGTAAAGCTCTCTCTAATCTTTGAAACTGAAATAAAAGTCTGTATTCTTTTAAACTGAAATTAAAGCTTCCTCAATGCTTTTAAACTCTCAACATTGTAGCTATCAAGCACTCCAGGACAGGTACAGCACAGATTTAGATACAGAGTAAAGCTCCCTCTACTCTTATATACGAAGAGTAAAGCTCCCTCTAAACTGAATCCATTAAACACCCCCAGGTCAGGGACAGCACAGAGCTAGATGCAGGGGAAGAGACCCATTAGTCTTTTAAACTGAAAGCAAAAGCATCTCTCTATTCTTTTCACTGAAAGTAAAGCTCCTTCCACACTATACCCATCAAACATTCCCGGGAAAGGGAAAGCATGGGTTAGATACAGAGTAAAGCTTCCTCTACTATCTTAAATGGAAAGAAACAAAATACACTGTCCCCATCAAACGCTTCCTGGACAGGTACAGCATGTAGAAAAGTAGAGTGTAGGAACAGGAGCAGGCCATTCAGCCCTTCAAGCCTGCTCTGCCATTCAATATGATCATGCTGATCATTCAACTGTCCCCACTTTCTCCCCATACCCTTTGATCCCTTTAGCCCTAAGTACTATATCGAACTCCTTCTTGAACTCATCCAACATTTTGACTTCAACTGCTTTCTGTGGCAGAGAATTCCACAGACTCATCACTTTCAGGGTGAAGAAATGCCTTATCTCAGTCCTAAATGGCCTATACCATATCCTAAAACTATGACTCCTGGTTCTGGACTCCCCTGTCATTGAGAACATCATTCCCGAGTTTATCCTGCCTAGTCCTGTTAGAATTTTATAGGTTTCTATGAGATATCCATTCATTCTCCTAAACTCCAGTGAATATAATCCTAAGTGATCTCTTCAGTGTCTCTTCATACCTCAGTTCTGCCATCCCAGGAATCAGTCTGGTAAACCTTTGTTGCACTCCCTCCATAGGCAGAACATTGTTCTTCAGATAAGGAAAGCAAAGTTGCATAGAATACTCCAAGTTAGTCTCACTAAGACCCTGTATAATTGCAGCAAGACATCCTTGCTCCTGTACTCGAATCCTCTTGCTATAAGGTCAACATATCATTTGCCTTCTTCACCACCTATTGCACCCGTATGCTTACTTTCAGTAAAAACCAAAATCAAAATCTGCGGATGCTGTAAATCAGGAACAAAAACAGAAGTTGCCAGAAAAGCTCAGAAGGTCTAGCAGCATCTGTGAAGAAAAAAATCAGCATTAACGGTTTGGGTCTGGTGACTCTTGCTCAGTTCTGAGGAAGTGTCACCGGACCCGAAATGTTAACTCTGATTTTTCTTCACAGATGCTGGCAGACCTTCTGAGCTTTTCCAGCGACTTCAGTTTTTGTCGCTTACTTTCAGGGACTGGTTTACAAGGACACCCAGGTTCTGTTGCAGACCATCCAGCTTTTCCAATCTGTTTCCATTCAGATAATAATCTGCCAGAGTTAGATACTGAGTAAAGCTTCCTGTTTCTGATTATTTAGGGGCTTTTTCTTTTATCAGGGCTCATTTACAATGAATTGTTTAGTTTGGCGTCCTCTATGTTGTCTATGAGCAGCTGCCCACATCTGATCTTACTGAGTGGTCTTCTGTATGTAAGCACTGCTGTGCTGGTTCTGTGTTTGATGTTGAAGGGTTCTCTATCGTTCCCTGCTATTTAGTTTGATTGGTAAATGCTGCGAGGGGTATAGATGAGTGGAGTGCACTCCTTCTCACATACTTACTGCCTGAAACTCTTTCTCACTGCCACAGGGAAAGGCCAAAAAACCATCAGGCGACAAAACACTCTCCGAAAAATATTGAACTGCACGGAAGTGGTTGCAAGAAATGAAGTTCTTTGTACCTGAAAAAGCAAATCATTTATAATTCATAATTAATAACACATAATGAATTCTCTGAAACTTTGATGGACCTGGAGGCTGGTCTGATTTGGATCTTTTGAACAAGGAGATCTTTTGAACAATCAGCTCTGTCTTTGTCCTTTCAATGTGTGGGTGTTGAATATTTTCATAGTTCAAGAGCGATTTGAATGAGGAAACTCTCATCTTCTGCAACATTCTGTCACGACTGCCCCAGGTGCTGGTTCTGTGATCTCAGGGGAAATGATAGCACATGGAGTGACATTCCCTTGCTAAGAGGCAGATCAAACTTGTTTTAAATCGTCATTCACAGGGCGTGAGTATGGCTGCATTTATTACCCATCCTGACTGCCTCACTCAACCATTTCAGATGGCAGTTAAGAATCAGCCACATTGTTGTTTGCCTGGAGTCATATCAATGCCAGACTGGGAAAGGATGGCAGATTTCCTTTCCTGAAGGGTATCATGAATTCTTAAGACTATAGTTTTATTCCAAATTAGCCTTAACTTAAATTTTTCCTGGTGCTCTTTTGAGATTTGAACTTTTGCCTGGATTACGAATCCGGTCCTCTGGGTTACCAGTGAACTAAAATAACCTCCATGCCACCAGTTGCTACAGAAACGAAGAGATTAAAAGAATGCTGTTATGCTTGTGTTCTCCTGCTCTTTTGGAAGGCAGGGTGAGGAGCTGGTGGGATAAATAATCTGACAGGTTACAACATGAATTCTCTATCATTAACCAGACCATCTGTTTCTCAGACAATAGGTATTTGTCCTACACACCAGAAAGGGATATGGGTCCCTCAAGTGAAAAGATGGGAGACGGGGGATTGTGGAGTCAGGAATTGGATGAGATATTTACTCAGCACTCCTGATACTCTCTGTGTATTAGGACTGTTCACAAGTGGGATTGCAACACAAACCTCCTGATTTTGAGCAAGGAGTGTCTGCACTTAAGCAACAGGGTTAACCTAGACAGAAAAGGATGAGATCCCACATTCTCTCATCATAACACCAGCATTTTAAACAATTCCATTCTGCACTACAGCCTGGATACAATGGGTTGAATGACCTCCTTCTGTGCTATGATGTATTCATGATTCTCAGCTCCTGCAGTAACATCTTACAGGTATTACTCCATTAATTAGGCCACATTTGGAATACTGCGTGCTATTCTGCTATAGGAAAGACGTTGTTAAACTTGAAAGGGTCCAGAAAAATTTGCAGGGATGTTGCTGGGATTGGAGCGTTTGAGTTATAGGGAGAAGCTAAATAGGTGGGGGAGGTGTCGGAGGCTGAGGGATGACATTATAGAGGTTTATAGAGGGGCATGAATAGGATGAATAGCCAAGGTCTTTTTTCCCAGGGTAGGGGAGTCCAAAACTAGAGGGCATCGGTTTAAGGTGAGAGGGGAAAGATTTAAAAGGGATCTAAGAGGCAACATTTTCACGCAGAGGGCAGTGCATATTTGGAATGAGCTGCCAGCGGAAGTGGTGGAGGCTGGTACTATTACAACATTTAAAAGGCATCTGGATGTGTATATGAATGGGAAAAGCTTAGAGGGATATGGGCCAAATGCTGGCAAATGGGAATTGATTAAGTATGGATATCTGGTTGGCATGGACGAGATGGACTAGAGGGTCTGTTTCCGTGCTGTACAATCTATGACTCTATGATAAAGGGACGTGTAATGATATTAGCAGAGAGCTGGGAGAGCTGCCCAAGGATTGAACACCCCTTACTCGTACCTATGCATTGCTCGGTGTTCCCAGCAGCAGTGTCTGTCTGAGGAACAGTGCCATCATCCGGTACTCACCTTGCCAGATCCCATCAATGTCCAGGATGGTTGAAAGGATATTCTTGCTGCAGCCTGGCATGTTCTCACCACCATTTGGGTAGAAATCCACGTGCCCACAAGCTTGAAACATCCCGAATGCTGTGGCAGAAGACAGCTAATCAGAGTGATCCACAGGATTCCACTCACTCATACTATCACAGATGAAGCAACAAAATAGTGTGAAGAGCATGTTAAACAGCAGAAACAGTAAACTACAAACCAACAACTGACTGATCAGAACACAACTCTGTAATCCTGCCAAATCCAGTCATAAATGGTTGGACACAATTTAAACTGGAAGAGAAAGCTCCACTAATATCCCCATCCTCGATGATAGGGGAGCCAGTACATCCATGTAAAAGACAAGCCTGAGCCATTGCAACTTTAGCCAGAAGTGCCAAGTGGATGATCTATCTCAACTCCCTCCTGAGGTTCCCCCGGCTCATGGTTTCCAACCAATTAGATTTACTCTGCATGATGGCAAGAAATGCCTGTCCTACCCCACCCCCGTGTCTGTGTTTCTCAATAGAATATTTGAGAGATGGCACTTACCAATACTGGGAAATTGGGATGAACCATCTGTGTGAATCACATCAACAAACAATGCATCAGTGGGATCCAGTCGGACTTCAGGTGGAGTGTTCTGGAAATATGGCTCAACTGGATCAAGCCCTGTGGGATAAATCTGGGATTGTTTGAACTGGTTTTCAATATATTTGTTAGATTATTTATAGGATTCATAAAGAACAGGGTTAATTCCAGGTTGCTAAATCAGCCTCTTCTCATTGACCCCATCAACCAGCATTCCAATTTATCAATTCCATCCCATTTCACTCACAAGTGCCCCTCTAAGCCCCTCACCATCCTGACTTGGAAATATATTGCCATTCCTTCAGTGTGCCTGGGTCAAAATCCTGGAACTCCCTCCTTTATAGCATTGTGAGTGTGCCTACAACAAATGGACTGCAGCAGTTCAAGAAGACAGCTTATCACCACCCTCTCAAGGGCGATAAATGATTGTTTAGCCAGTGACACCCATGTCCCATGAACAAATGAGAAAAAAAAACAAGCTTACATCGAATAACAGCCCGACAAATAAACGCATTTCTATTAATTCCCATTATGTAATGGCCAAATGTGCTAAAGCCTTTCTCTTCAACACCCATTCCATGGAATTGCATTTGTTCAACCCCTTCTCTCTGACTGTCATTCAGTTTGTGTTAGTTTGAGACTTGAGGGTGGAATGAATTACCTGTAATCCGAGAAATCCCTGGAGTCCGCTTGCCTGCTTCCCCAGCTGCGTGTGCCCCTAGACTGTGTCCAACCAGGTACACATCAGACACAGTGTAATTATAGTAACTCTGAGGCAGATAAAGAAGAGGCAGAATGTTAAATCCACAGATATTTGAAGTAAATTTCAGTATTTTATCAAATCCCTGCATGAACGCTCTTAGTACATCCCAATAATATGTTCCAATATTCGGACAGTAGGAATGGTATCCAGTCCAGGGATAAAGTCTGACAGAGGCCACATTGTATCTGGCCGCTGTCCCTTCACCTCTTTATCTAACCACTTCCTGTCTGGCCCCAGAATACCTGACTTCAGGTAATGACACAGTGATAATGCCACTGGACTAGCAATCCAGAGGCTTATGCTCTGGGGAATAAGTTCATACCCCACCAGGGTAACTGGTGGAATGTAAGTGCAGTGAATAAGTTGATAAATAAACCAAGCAGTAGGAATGATCACCATGAAAACCATCATCAATAGTTCTGAAAACCCATCTCCTTCACTAACACCCTTTAGAGAAGGAAATCAGCCATAATTACCTAGTCTTGTAACTCCGGGCCCACAGCAATGTGGTGAACTACTAACTGCCCTCTGAAATGGCCTGGCAGGGGCAATTAGGGATGGGTAACAAATGTTGCCATTGCCACCAACACCCACATCCTGTGACTAAAGAAAATGATTCCCACCAATATTTTATACACTTCTCTATAGATTCACTGCTTCTGTTACATTATATACCTATTCTATGGCTACCATCTGATCTATAGGGTGATTAGTCCTTACTCTATAGGGTATTTTTCCTGCAATAGGGTGTCTGCATCGGTCTATAGGGGTTTTGGTTGTAGTTGTTCACTGACCTTCAGAGCATCCAGAAAGTATGCGGTTTCTGCTCCCACAACCCGGATGTTTTGAGCAGCCTGGCTGTAGGAACATTGTGAACCCCCTCTCCAATCAACGCAGATACAGTTTACATCATCCACATGCAGAATCATCTTAAAGAGCAGAAAACAGAATCTGACATGAATTTGATGATCTCACCAATCCTCAGGAACCCACCCTGCAGGCACCGTTGAATGACATGGAATGTATAGCAAATACAAAGGCCATTTCACTCATTCAACACCACGTTGGTGCTTACTCTCCATAGAAAACTACACCCCACCCTAACTACCTCCTCCCAGTGTGGATTGCCAACTCTCAATGAATGTAGTCCTGGAGGTTTCATCATATGACCTTGGTCAACCATGGCCCCACTCAAATAAGTTGCCTTTTACTGCACCTCCGGTATTACACTATCAATATAGAAAAATATTGAAAAAGAATGAATAAAAAATCACACAATCGATTTTAACACCCAGTGATGTTGTATCCTGATGTTCACTGTCTATTCCCTGAAATCCAAAAGCAGTCTTGGAGAGTTGCCAGCCCTATTTCCCATTCCCCGTCCCTCTGCTCACTTCAGAAAGTCACCAGGTTTCTACACTGAAACCAGTTCACCCCTTACACACCTCCCCAGTCCACAGCATGGACACTTCTGCAGTTTTCACCTTGCAGATACCACCAGCTCTCACACCTTGCACAGTTCTACAGTTCAAACCTTGCACACTTCTCCAGCTCACAACTTGCACACTTCCTTATCTTATATATTAAATAAAAAGAAAGGAGGAGAACACGTCCCCATCTACATCAACAGAGCTGTAGTTGAGAGAGTGAAGAGCATCAAGTTCTTCGGAGTGACGATAACCGACGACCTGACTTGGATTTCCCACATAGATGCGACAGTCCAGAAGGCACAACAATGCCTCTTCTTCCTCAGGCTGCTCAGGAAATTTGACACGTCCATAAAGTCCCTCAACAACCTTTACAGATGTACCATTGAAAGCATACTGTCCTAGTGCATAATGGCCTGGTATGGCAACTGCTCTGCTCAGGACCGTAAGAAACTACAGAAGGTGGTGTGCACATCCCAGATCATCATGGAAGACAACCTTTCATCCATGGACTCTAATAACATGGCCCCCTGCCGTGGAAAGGTGGCCAACATGTTCAAAGACCCATCGCACCCTGGTAACGATCTCCTGCAACCTCTTCCGTCAGGCAGAAGATACAGAAGCCTGAACACACACACAAGCAGGTTCAGGAACAGTTTCTTTCAGGCTGTCATCAGACTGTTGAATAGTCTCTAGCCTCAAATAATGAAACCTGCAATGTAACCTGTATGGCTCTATGTCTTTTTGATCTGTACATCCTTTGCTTGCTGTGACCCGGCTGCACTGCTCATAAACAAAGCTTTTCACTATATTTCAGTACACGTGACAATAAAATCAATCAACCAAAAAAAAAATCAAAAAGGCCCTGGCTGTCACCTTGCACAATGCCCCAACTCACACCTTGCATGCTTCCTCAACACACACCTTGCACCCCAGCTCACACCTTGCACATTTCCCCAGCTCCTATGTACGTATCACTCGCAATGTACATATCATTATGTACATTTCCTCAGCTCACATGTACATATGACCAGCTCTCACCTTGCAGATTTCCCCAGCTCACACATTGTACATATCACCAGCTCTCACCTTGCATAGATTTACAGCCCAGCTGATATCTCCATTTTCCAGGTATCCATGAGTGATGAACACTGATTTCTGATCAAGGCTAAAGTTTGAAACAACTATTGTCTCAGGACTTGTTCCACTAATTTCCTAAACAAATAACAAGAAACAGGTTGAGATTCAGGTCAGAAGTGATTCCCCCTTAAATGTTTGCTAATGTGGTCAAAACTGTCACAAACACGTGATTTGATTTTCTTGACCCTGATTGGGTGGTCAGTACCAGAGGGACCATGCTCTCTGTATGACCAAGAGAAAGGTTTTCTGTAAAGATTTGATGTTCACAAGATCATGGAGTTTCCAGAATTTGATCTGACTTTTAATCTGTCATCTTCTAAAAGTGTGGGAGCAGGTAGATTCATCAGCCAAGCAGATTGAAGAATCCAGCCGGAAGTACAAAATAGGAATTATAACTCACTTTCTAAGGATATACAGAAAGATCCAGACAGATATGGGATTATGAAAAAGCTGATAAAAAAACAAGCTTTAAAATATTAAATATAATTAATTTCATCATTTTAAAAGCCAAAGTCTTTTTTTAAAATTTATTTATGGGATATGAGCTTTGCTGGCTGGCAGCATTTATTATCCATCCCTAGTTGCCCTTGAGGAGATGCTGGTGAGCTGCCTTCTTGAACGGCTGCTACCAAGCATCAGTGGAGGGAATAAATGTAATGCCAATCAAGTGGGCTGCTTTGCCTTGGCTGGTGACAATCTTCTTGAATGTTGTTGGAGCTGCACCCATCAGGGCAAGTGGGGAGTACCCTGTAGATGGTGGATAGGCTTTTGGGGAGTCAGGAGGTGACTTACTTGCTGCAGTATTTCTCACCTCTGACCTGCTCTTGTAGTCACTGTATTTTATGGTGAGTCCAGTTGAGTTTCTGGTCAATGGCAATCCCCAAGATGTTGATAGAGGGGAATTCAGCAATGGTAATGCCATTGAAGGTCAAGGGGAGTGGTTAGATTGTCTTTTATTGGAAATGGTCATTGCTGAATTGTTCTCTTACTATTTTTCCTGCTTTTGCTGAATTTGTTCAGTGTTTAGTCCCTATTGTTCTCTGTATTTTTCACCATTGTCTTCAGTTGGGGACTGTGTATAGAAACTGCACAAATTCAATGAGTTGAAGTATTCACCAACCGATCTGGCTTCATCATGGTAAGTGTATCTCTCTCTCCTCGGCCAAAGGCTACCACAATCCCAAGGTTACTCTGAAAAGGGAGAATGATGGAAGTCTTTTCTGTCACTGCATGTTGCCCATTATTTCTCATTGTGTTCTGTCTTCATGAAGGATTTTATTAAACTGGAGAGGGTTCAGAAAAGATTTACCAGGACGTTGACATGAATGGAGGGTTTGAGTTATAAAAATAGGCTGGACTTTTTTCAGTGGAGTATCCTTAAGGAGTGGCCTTATAGAAGTTAATAAAATCAGGAGGGGAATTGATAAGGTGAATGGCAGGTGTCTTTTCCCTAAGAAGGGGAAGTTCAAAACTAGGGGCATATTTTTAAGCTGAGAGGAGAAAGATTTAAAAATGACATGAGGGGCAAGTTGTTTTTTACACAGAGGGTGGTTAGTGTGCGGAACGAACTGCCAGAGGAAACGCAGGTACAGTTATAATGTTTAAAAGATGTTTTGATAAGTACACAAATAGGAAAGGTTTGGAGAGATATGGGCCAAATGCAGGCAAGTGGGACAGTTTTGCTTGGGGACATGGGTCAACATGGACTAGTTGGACTGAAGGGTCTGTTCCCATGCTGTATGATTCTATGAGCTATGAGCCTGGCATTTGTGTGGCGCGAATGTCATTAGGCACTTTTCAGCTCCAGCCTCAAAGTATTGTCAAGGTCTTGCTGCATTTGAACGTGAACTGCTTCAATTTCTGAGAAGTTGCGAACAGCGCTGAACATTGTGCAATCATCGACGAACATCTCCACTTCTGACCTGTTGATTTAAATGTTACCCTTAGGGAATGAGACTCATACTTGTATACTTATTTTTGAGGGTCAGAGAGGATGTCCAGCAGTAAAGTTGACTTAGAATGTTACTAAAATTCCCATCATACCTAACTGAACAGGTTTCACCTTCTTAGTGTTTTTTTTTAACAGGGCAAATATGACAAAGCTGCAGGATGTGTTAAAAGGGCAGTCTCCAAGAGCACAGGATAAGATATCACTTAGCAACATCCAGGTTTTTGTTTTTAACTGCATATGTGCAGGTGCTAGAATTTGCTGTTACACTTACACAGTGGTGATGGTGAAAACTGACATTACCCTTGGGAATTCCACGCTAGGATCTCACAGTGCTTGAGTCAGTAAATCTGTGTAAACGCCTCAAACTAGTGCCTCTATGTTAATCTCACAGTTACCACAGCAACCAGGACTGGGGGCAGAGGGTGGATTTATATTGGATTATATCACAAATCTGCATTAATCAGTGACATTCCTCTTAGATTCATAGAGTTATATAGCACAGAAGCAGATCCCTCAGCACAGACCAGATATCCTAATCCGACCTAGTCCCATTTGTCAGCATTTGGCCTAAAACCCTCTAAACCCTTCCTATTCATGTACCCACTCAGAAGTCTTTTAAACGTTGTAATTGCACCAGCCTCCATTTCTTCTGACAGCTCATTCCATACATGCACTACTCTCTCTGTGTAAAAGTTCCCCTTGGTTCTCTTTTAAATCTTTCCCGCCTCACCTTAAATCTACACCGTCTAGTTTTGGACTCCCCCACCCTGGGGAAAAGGCCTTGCCTATTTACCTTATCCATGGCCCTCATGATTTTATAAACATCTATAAGGTGACCCCCTCAGCCTCCGACGGCTCCAGGGAAAAAATGCCCCAGTCTATTCAGCATCTCCCTGCAGCTCTAACCCTCCAATTTTGTGGTACTGGTGACTACCTGTGAGAATGTTCTCAGCGTCTCTACCTGATAATTGTCTGGGTTCTGCCTGGTGTACAGCAGGAAACGTGTGTTGATCTTTTCTGGGCTCCAAGGGACTTTGGCAGCAGGCCTCTCCTTTGTCCCAGTCCATGGGTATCCACTTGGGAAGCAGCCAAGTCTATCAAAGCAAATGCCCTCCGCTTCAATGAATGCGGCATTAAGAGGTAAAGAAAAACAGAGTCAGTGAGAAGTCCAGCACAATACACAAGCTGATCCAAACCCTCACAACCATAGGACGGCACGGTGGCTCAGTGGTTAGCACTGCTGCCTCACAGTGCGAGGGACGCGGGTTAGATCCCACCCTCGGGTGACTGTCTGTGTGGAGTTTGCACATTCTCCCTGTGTCTGTGTGGGTTTCCTCTGGGTGCTCCAGTTTCGTCCCACAGTCTGAAGCTGTGCAGGTTAGGGTGGATTGGCCAGGCTAAATTTCCCGTAGTGTCCAGGTATGTGCAGGCCTGGTGGGTTAGCCATGGGAAATGCAGGGTTACGGGGATGAGGTACACAGATGGGTCTGGGTAAAATGCTCTTTCGAGGGTTGTTGTGGACTTGATGGGCCTAATGGCCTGCTTCCACACTAGGGATTCTATGAACCAGTCACCATGCAGTACACGTGATATGGTGCAAACTGAAGGTACAGTCTGCAGTATACCTACAGTCTGTGTAACATGGTACAGTTCTAGATTTAGTCAAATGGTATATTTAAGGAATTTCCTATGACAGTTTACTGTATCAGACTGTGCAATCCCATAACAACAACCCATATTGATTTAGTACCTTAATATCATAAGATATTACAAGGCTCATCACATTTGACAACAGATATTTAATGTCGTGAAATAATACAGATAACCAAAAGCTTAATAGAACTTGCAGATTCAATGTATCAGCCTGCGTTATCCTCTATCACATTGGGTGTTTCCTCATTTCAGTCTGTTGCAGAGCGATGGGTGACAACTCTAAATGTGTATTTCCTGCAAAAGTTTGATAGGGACAGTGTAGAGAAGCTTTACTCTGTATTAACCCTGTGCTGTCCCTGTTCCGGGAGTGTTTGATGGGGATGGTGGTGATGGAACTTTATTGCTGTTTCCTTTCAGTTTTAAAAGAGCAGAGGGAGCTTTAGTCTGCACCGAACCCTGTGCTGTCCCTGTTCCGGGAGTGTTTGATGGGGATGGTGTCAAGGGGACATTACTTTCCATTTACTTCTACTTTAAAAGAGTAGAGGTAGCTTTAATTTCAGTAAACAGAGTAATGGGAGCTGTATCTAATCCCATGCTGTACCCCATGCATTTTACTTTTATGATCTCCCATTCCAATTTGCCCTGAAACCTCTGATTGTTGAATCGTTGATAGCCTAGACAACATCCATTTACCTATTTTAAAGTACATGAGGGTGCTGGTTGATTTATACAGGGTTTGAGTCATTTTCAAAGACACTTTCCTGATTAATTCATTTTCCCAAATTGCCATAACGGTATTCAAGTTTTCCGCAGTGTAGTGAGTACTCCAGGAACAACAACTCTTGGCTGGTCCCACTCCTGCGCTTCACCTTGAGCATTCCCACTGAACCAATCGCTCTCTTGTTTCCTTACCATTAACCTGGATGAGAAGGAGACTGACGGCAAGCAGGAGCCTCAGCATCTGAAAGAGAAGTGAAGCTGCTGGGGTCATCACAGTATCAACCAGCAAAGAGGCCTTCAACACCTGGAGTAAACACATGAAACTACCATCGTCTTATATTAGCTTCAGTCATATCAGTGTGCAGACTGTGAACAAAGAGTCTATTGAACAGGACCACATTTGCTCACTTTAATTGTTACATCTTCAAACCTGAGACTGTGATACTCACTGAGCCTTATCACTCTCCCAGATTATTATTGAGCTCTTGATAAGGTATGATTCCCTCCCAAGCTGCAGCTCCTCGGGCCTTCTCTTCTCCTCATGTGTTCCACCAACTCTCCTCTGCATCTCCAAAAATCTTGGCCATGATTACTTTTGGCTCCTTACCTTACCAAGCCTTGAGGATCTTAAAGCTGGAACAGTCCCTCTCTCCTCACCTTCTTCACTGTCCTCCCTCTCCCATCACATGCCTTTCTACTCACCCTTGTCCTTCTCACTCCCACCTCCACATGCTCTCTATCCTTACCTTCCACACTCCTTATCTCCTTCACTCTTTACTTTGTTCAATCCTTATATTTTCCATCCTTATCTTTCTCTCTCCTCACCTCCCTTTCTCCTCAGCCTCATCCTGCTCACCTACTCACTCCTCACATCCCTCTTCACCTCCCTCACATTTCACTCCCCCTCCTCACCTCCCTCACTGCTCACAAACTCCTCCTCGTTACCTCCCTCGTTCCTCAATCCCTCCTTCTCATTATCTCCTCCACACATTACTCCCTTCTCCTCACCCTCTTCACTCCTCTCTCGCTCTGTCTTGTTACCTCCTGCATTCCTCAGCTCTGTCCCTCTTCATGCCTCTCTTTCCTCACCTCCCTCACAGGGCATTTTTCACACTCTCTCCTAGAAACATAAAATTAGAAAGCACTTTTGAAGATGTCAATGGAAAGGGCTAATACCTAAGCTTGCAGCTCCCTGCTCCTTATTTCTTAATTTGCCGTCTCTCACCTTCACATCAAGTGAAGGAATCTCACAATCATACAGCACAGAACGAGGCTATTTGGTCCGTCATGCCTGCCCCAGGTCTATCAAAATAGACCCAGTCTCCTGATTTGCCATTGCCCAGAAAATATGTTTTAATTGAATCTGCTTCTACCACCTTTTCAGGCAGTGCAGTCCAGGTCACTATTGTTATGTATTTTTACTCTCTTCACCTCGCTGGTTCTTGTGTTATTGGACAGATGTTGCCAGATTTTCCTTTGGTGCCACTCTAATGATCAACCCTGAGTATTTCCCCTGCTCCCCGTGTTTTTGAATCATAAGTTAAGGTGAAATTTGTTCCAGGTAAGAAGTTAAGCATTAAATAGAGTGACTCACCTTCCCCAAGACCATGACACAAGTGCACCGTCTGGAGTTCACTGGGGTTCTCTCTCTTATATATATGCTCCTAGAGCTCTCAATATTTCAAAACATCGAATTTAAGTGTGGGAAGTGCACAGCTGGATTCTGGCAAACACCACCAACATATCCCAGAGCCTTTACTGGCACTGCCACAAGGTCAGGAGTCCGATTTCATTAAAACCCCAGTTTGAACCCTTGCCACCTCACCCAGCAAGAAAGAGGCAAGAAAAGGTCCAGGGTGGGAGATAGCTTTTAAACTAACAGCAACATGGCACGTGTCCGACCCATCCAGTTGTCCAAGGATTCTTTGCCAGGAAGGGGCTGGATTCAGGGCTTTAGGGTGGTAGCATAGGGGTCAAGAAATTTACAGAGAGATTGACAGAGCTGGGCCGTGAGAGAATCTAAACAAGATAAGCATTTTAAATCATGATGAATCAATGGCCATGGGGATCCTGGGCATTGGACAAGGGGGTGAGGAGGGCCAGTCAGTGGCATGGACAGTACATGGTATTGGTCACTGGACATAGGGTGTATTGGGCAGTGGGCATGGGATATTGGAGGTTGGACAGTGAGAGTTGTCATCTTTGGGCATGGGGTTTTGAGCAGTGAAGACAGGGGTGTTCTCAGAGAGCATGGGGGGCTGTTGGGTAATGGGCATGGAGGGTGTTGTCAGTGGGCAGAGGGGCTGATGGGTAAATAAGACCATATGACATTGGAGAAGAAGTAGGCCATTCAGCCCATTGAGTCTGCTCCACCATTCAATAGATCATCAGTGCTGATCTATTAATCTTGAATTCCATATTCCTGCTTTTTCCCTTTGACCCTTGATTCCCCTACTGCTTGAAAATCTGTCTATCTCGGCCTCAAATACACTTAATGACCCAGCCTCTACAACCATTTGGGGTAAGGAATTTTGCAGATTCAGTATCCTCTAACAGAAGAAATTCCTTCTCATCTCTGTTTTCAATGTGTGACCCCCTTATTCTGAGATTATGCCATCTGGCTCTACACAGGGAAACAACCTCTCTGCATATATCCTGTCAAATCCCCTAAGAATCTTGTATGTTTCAAGAAAGACGCCTCGCATTCTTCTAAATTTCAATGAGTATATGCCCAGCCACCTCAGCCCCTCCTCATAAGGCAGCCCCTCCACATCTGGTATCAACCTAATGAACTGCCTCCAAAGTCGGAATATGTTTCCTTAGATAAAGAACCCAAAACAGTTCATGGTATTTCTGTTGTTGTCTGACTAGTGCCTTGTATAGTTTTAGCAAAAAGACTTGTTTGAAATAAAGGCCAACATTTCATTTGCCTTCCCTGTTACCCACTGAACTTGGATGCTAGCTTTTTGTGATTCATAGATGACGACTCCAAAATCTCACTGTTCCGTAGCTTTCTGCAGTCTTTCTACACATAAATAATATTCAGCCCCTCTGTTCTTCCTACCAAAGTACATAACTCACATTATATTCCACTTGCCAAGCTTTTGCCCCCTCATTTCTTTTGCAGACTCTTTGTGTCATCCTCACCACTTGCCTTCCCACCTATTTTTGACTTAGTGTGAGTCAAAGTACAGCAGCAGAGTTTTGGATGAACAAAAGTTTACTCATCTTGGAAAAAAGGTGGGGGTTGGGTGGTGAGCGGTGTGTGTGCATGTGTCTGTGTATGAGACTGTGTGTGGAAATGAGTACAGCACTGGACTAATTGAATCTAGTCTTGATAAAATATAGAAGAGGATTCCACCAGAAGATAGACTAACCTTCTCTCTATCGTTCCAATTTAAATTTATGTGCTCAAGAACAATGTAAAGTGTAGGTGAGTGATATTATGGAGGTGGCAGTACGTCGTCTTCAGCCAATTTGATTCACTCCACATGATATCAAGAAATTACTGAAGACACCAGATACTGCAGAGGCTATGGGCTCTGACAATGTTCCGGCAATAGTACTGAAGACTTGTGCTCCGTGACTAGTGAGATTGACTGCCCTTGACATCAAGGTAGCAACTGACCAAGTATGGCATCAAGGAGCCATAGTAAAACTGGAGTTAAAAAGAAAACTCTCCGCTGATTGGAGTCATACCTGACACAAATAAAGATGTTTGTGGCTGTTAGAGGTCATTCATCTCAACTCTACGACATCTTTTCAGGAATTCCTTAGGGTAGTATCCTAGCCCAACCATCTTCCTCTGCTTCATCAATGACTTTCTCTCCATCATAAGGTCAGAAGTGGTGATGTTCTCTGATAATTGCGCAATGTTCTGCACCATTCACGACAGCTCAGATACTGAGGCACTCCATGTCCCTAAGCAGCAAGACCTTGACAATATCCAATCTGGTCTAATAAACAACAAACAACATTCTCGCCACACAAGTGCCAGACAATTTCCACCTTCAACAAGAGAGATTCTAACCATCATCCCTTGACAGTCGATGGCAGAGCCATTGCTGAATCCCCCAATAGCAATATCCTGGAATTACCATTGACCAAAAATTGAACTGGACTAGCAATATAGATACTGTGGCTACAATAGCAGTTCTGAGGCTGAAAATTCTGTGGTGAGCTACTCACCTCCAGTCTCTGCAACACCTATCCACCATCTACAAAGCACAAGTTAGGAGTGTAGTGGAATACTCTGCATTTGCCTGGTTCAGTCCAACTTCAACAGCACTCAGAAACCTTGACATCATCCAGGAAAAAGCAGCCCTCCTGACTGACACTCCATTCACCAGCTTCAACATTCACTTCCTTCACCACTGATGCACAATGTCAGCAGTGTGTACAATCTACAAGATGCCCTGCACCAACTCACCAAAGCTCCTTTGATAGCACTTTCCAATCTTGAGGCCTTTACTGCCTGTAAAGACAAGGGTAACAGATAACCCTAACCCTAGCCCTATTGCAAGTTCCTCTCTGAGCCACACACCATCCTGGCGTGGAAATATATTGAGATTCCTTCAGTGTCGCTGGATCAAAATTCTGAAACTCCCTCACTTATGACATATGGAAGTATCTACACTAGATGGAATACAACTGTTCAAGAAGACAGCTCACCACCTGCTTCTCAAGGGTAACTAGGGATTGACAAAAAAATTCTTATGTCCCACAAGTGACTGAAGTGGAAATGTTCAGAATAGTGTGATCAAGTTGAAGCACTGGCCAGGCTTCAAGGTTGTGTTAAAGATTGGCAGGAAAATTTGTTCCAATATTATGTGAATGAGTTAATAATTAATACTAATTAATTATACTGAGTAACATTTTGCAGTTATCACAATATGAACACATTTTTCTTTCCTTAGTGATGTTTTAATTCAGTTATTGCTAAGCAGCAGCAGTAACCTTGAGATAAAAAATCTAATTTTTGTAAATTACATTGCATTTTCTCTTCCACAAAATTCTGACATTTAAACTGACCATTTTTTCTCATAGTGGAAAACGTGTTGACGATTCTAGCAGAGCAACAGTTTTGATGTTGGGGACTTGCAGGGTATGTGTTCCCTGCATTTCATGAGATGCTTTTTGGGTTCCCTGTTGCTACGGGATATTTTGGATTCATCACAAAGACACAATTGATTGGTCACCAAGAACATGTTGGAGTTGTTCTGAAAGGAAGAAACATGGACTTAAAGGCCAACACCCATTGACTCATTGTGCTGCTGGCTGTTTACATCCTGCAACATGTGCCCCCGGAGCCACACTAAGGATTCGTTTGGGTCCCAACTTTGATCAGTTTGGCCCATGTTTATGGTCAAGGCTTATTTTGTGATTTAACAAGTTTTATTTACCTGAGAGAGTGTAACAACTTTGTTAATATATAAAGGCTTTCATAATACTGTTGAACTTATCTCTGTTTTGTTTTTCAGTGCAACTGAAATCTGAGTCACAGGATTTAGGGTTTTGTTTATCCTAAATGTTAAAATTAACCTTCAGCGGGGCAGCCCAGTCCAGGATTCCGTAAAGCAGATTTCCAGTTTGCCCAAATTGTCGTAAACAGCCATGGGCGGCGACTTGCCCAAACTGCCGTAAAATGAGCCGCCGTCTTTATATAGTGCGGCGGTGTCGTGAAGTGTCCCAAGCACTGTCAAAATGGCGGCGGTGTCAGAGCCGGTGGCAGCGCAAAGTGAGGCCCCGGCCCCGGCCCCAACCCCCGCCCCCGCCCCAATCCCGACCCCAACCCCAACCCCAACCCCAGCCCCAACCCCAACCCCAACCCCGACTCCAACTCCAGCCCCGACCCCAGCCCCAGCCACAGCCCCAACTCCGGGCGCAGGCCCTGCTCCCTCCTCTTCCCCAGTCCCAGCCCCAGTCCCGACACCTTCTCCCGCTCCTTCTCCGTCCCCCACTCCCTCTCCCACCCTGATCCCCAAGCTGGAGCCTAGTGAAAGCCCGGCCGAAAACCATAAGCCTGGCCCGGCCGCAGGCCCAGCTACAGCTCCGTGCCCCGCGACTGCTGTAGGCCCGGCTCCAGGTCCAGGACCAGAGCTGCCCGACAAGCAGACACTGCTGGCTGTGCTGCAGTTTCTGAAGAAGAACCACTTCAAAGAGGCCGAAGAGATCCTCAGGAAGGAGGCCAACCTGCAGGAGAGCCTGGACGAGTCGCTGCTGAGGACGGCTGGCCACAGGGGTTCGGACTCGGTTCATCAGCCCGATGTCAGCTCGGTCCTTTCGGCCTACAGCAATGAGGGAGACCCGAGCCTGTACGAGGAATACTACACTGGCCTCAAGGGCTTCATCGAGACGGCGCTGGACGCCTTCAAAGCCGAGCTGTCCACTCTCCTGTACCCGGTCTTCGTGCATCTTTACCTGGAGCTGGTTTACAATGAGCATGAGAGGGAAGCTCGGCATTTCTTCCACAAGTGAGGGGCCTCCAATACCATCAACTTATTATCAATATCTGGAATATCATAAATATTACAATGCCTGTAACATCTTGTCCTTATCGTCATTCTGATTTTGTACTGAACTTGAATTAAACATTGGTTAGGTCGTATTAAGGATACTGCCTACAGATTTGGTAATCATAATACAGTGAGGATCATTGATTACACCAGACAAGGTAGAAGAGTGCACTGTAGATTCACCAGAATCATTTCTGGGTTCCTGGGGTTAAATAAGAGAGGTTACAGTATCTGCCGTTGTACTTGCGTGAATTAAGTTTTTGGCGTGCTATGGGAAATGATTGCGTTAGTAGAAGGAGACTTTTTGCTGAATGGGGAATCTAGGATACAAAGTGCTCCAAGGAGTCTGGTATATGGCAGAGTCTTTTTTTAAAAAAGCCTAACTTGTCAGGACTGGAATTAAGATAAAATCAATGTACTAGAAATTTCTGGAGAGATTCAGCAAGTCTGGCAGTATCTGTGGAGAGAGAAATGGAGGTCATGTCTGATGTGAACCTTCTTTGAAACTGAAGGAGAGCATCTATATATAGTGTCGCAACAGTTTGGAGTTCTCTTCCACAAATGCTGTTGCTGTTGATGTTGGATTGGTTTATGTTAAATCTTGGTCGATAAGATTTTTGCTATTGAAAGATATTATAGAATCATGGAATCCCTGCAGTATAGAAGCAGGCTATTTGGCCTATCGAGTCCACACCAACTGTCCGAAGAGTGCACCACCTAAACTATACCTGTAACCTTGCATTTCCCATGGCTAATCCACTTAGCCTGCATATACCTAGAAACAGTGGGCAATTTAGCATGGCCAATCCACCTAACCTGCACATCATTAGACTATACGAGGAAACCAATGCAGATACGGGGAGAATGTGCAAACTCCACACACAGTGGCCTGAGGGTGGAATCAAACCTGGGTGGCAGGGGCAAAGGTGGGTCTGTGGGGTTTGTTGAAGATCAGCCATGATCTTGAATGGCAGTGGAATAGACTCGGAGATGAACTGGTCTGTTCCTGTACCTCAACAGTGGAGTTCTTTTTTTTTTCTTACCACTCCCTCCAATTTGCCTGATAATTTCCACGTTGATTTCCAGCATCCAAAGACTTGTACATGTTTGCATCCCATTACATTCCCCCTCTTTGCCTCATATCATACTGAGAAGTCGTCCCCTCTTCAGCTGTCTGCTGAATCCACACAGTGTGGGTATGGGAGGTTACATCTATTGGAGTCTGAACCTGTCTTCTGGTTGGTTCCAGGTATCATGGGGATCAGGAAGGTTATTACCATGATGACCTGCGAGTGTTAGCTGGCCTGTCAAAGAAGGAACACATGCAGGGGAACGAGACAGTGCTCGATTTTCGGACCAGTAAGTTTGTGTTACGGATTTCACGGGATTCGTACCAGTGTCTGAAGCGTCACTTACAGGAGAGGCATAATAACCAGATCTGGAACATCGTGCAGGAGCAGCTGTTCATTGATGTATTTGATGGGATGCCGAGGAGCAAGCAGCAGATCGAGGTGACTTCTGGGGGAATGGCTGGAGAAGCAAAGAGGGAGGCAAATAAAACCAAGGTAAGGAACAACTTCTCTCAGCAGAATCACAATGGACCCTATTCCACAGGATCATTATCCCTGGACCCTAGACCCCAATATTCACAGGATCATTATTCCTAGGGCCTCAACTCTATTTTCTACAGGATCATTATCCCCAGACCTTGATCCCTACAGGATTATGAACCCCAGGACTCCAGACCTCATTCCCTACAGGATCACCGCCTTGGGGGCACTGACCACAGTCCTTACAGGATCATTATCCGTGGGACCCTATATCCCATTCTCCACACAGCATTATCCTAGGACACCAAACTCCATTCTCCACTGATCATTATCCCCAGATAAAGTGTCCCAGGTTCTGCTGTGGAATGTTGAGTTGCTGAATTGTAATGCCCTGAGCTCCGAGCTTTAATTTCAGGGTGGATGGATGTGGGCACCGGGCTCAGTTAACTTGTCAAAATCTTGGCAGGTATTCTTTGGGTTGTTGAAGGAACCAGAGATTGAGCTTCCACTTGACGATGAAGACGAGGAAGGAGAGAACGAGGAGGGGAAACCAAAGAAGAAAAAACCAAAGAAAGATAGCCTGGGTGCAAAGAGCAAGAAGCAGGACCCCAATGCCCCACCTCAGAACAGGTGAGTGAGGCAACATATCACAGAGATGCTTTCCTGCAGCTGTTGGCTCTCCTGGATAGAATCTTTCTACCCTGTTCAGCTGTTGGATCATTTCTACTCCTTTCATTGAATACAGATCTGAGCTTCTTTATTGTTACCAGTTGAGACAGCTTTGAGAGAGAGAGTGAATATTGGGAGCAGAGGGAGGCCGTTTAGCCTTTTGAGCCTTTTCCATCGTTCGGTTAGATCATGGCTGTTGTGGACCTCCACACCATTCATTTGCGTTTGCTCCATATCATTTAATCATCTGACTGAATAAAAATTTATCATTCAGTTTTGAAGGCCTCAGTTGACCGCCACATCCACAGATTTTAAGGGAAGAGAGAAAGTTCCAGGTCTCCACTGTATGAATATTTCTTCCCCATTTCACTCTTGAACAGCCCAGGTCTAAATTTAAGAATTTTTTCCTTTTGTCCTTGATTTGTCCCACCAGAAAAAAAAATTCTGCATCCACTATATAAACTTCTCAGTGAAATCATAGAACATAGAACATTACAGCGCAGTACAGGCCCTTCGGCCCTCGATGTTGCGCCGACCTGTGAAACCAATCTGAAGCCCATCTAACCTAAACTATTCCATTATCATCCATATGTTTATCATCCCTGCATCTGGAATCAAAACGATATTAGTCATGTGTAAACTGTTTGTCCATTTATCTCTCAACTGTAGCATACAAATGGAGGTCATTTGGCCCGTCATGTCTGCACTGACTCCATGCGAACATTTTGCCTAGTGCCGTTTCCTGGTCGTCTTCCAGTATTTCGGCACACTGTTTGTTTTCAGAGAATGTATTTTAACCACTCTTGTCATGGTATCATTCTGCTGAATCTTGTCATATCTGTTCCAACGCAGTGCACCTTCCACAGAGCCTGGCTAAAATTGAGGGGTGGGTTTATGAGGAATTTGCAAGTGGCGGGGGAGAGGGTGGCTGCAGTTAGAAAGAAGACACTTTTAAACTTGCCAGCAAAGGAATACTTAGCTAATTAAGCCATGCAGACTTGAAATCAGTAGTGTGATGAATTCCATGATAATAAATGTGGAGTCTCTAGCTTAAGGCTGCATACGATCAGGAATTACTGAATGAGAAAATTGTGCTGTCTGCTATTGTAGTGAACACTATCAGTTGTTAAGTGTGAGTGTGACTTCTGAGATGCATTAAAAAGATTAGTAACTACCTGATTAAATCTTCCAGCTTTGTGTATATGTGATTGAAATGCATTAGTTGTGATCTCACCAATATTTGGAAACTGTATTTAGGATGATGGTTTTTATTTATCACAGGGTGTACCAGTCATTTGGAAAGAAAAACTTTAACTTGAGCTTGTTGCCTTCTGCCAGTTTAAATAGTTTTAAATAGAAATTAATAGAAATTCCTGGAAAAGCTCAGCAGATCTGGCAGCATCTGTGGAGTTAATGTTTTAGGTCAAGTGCCCCTTCCTCAGAACTGCTCTGGTGTTTGAGAAATTAATGCTTTCCTGAGTTTGTTGTAGCTTTGTTTCATGGAAACTGGCAATTAGAGGATATTGATGAGTTCTTCTAATTCTCCTCCTTTAAGAGTCTACTTCACCCATATCGCAACACAGAAGGTATTGTTACTATGTGACTGTATCACCTAATAAATGAGTAGGTGAGAATGAAAAAGAAGCCCTGAAAACCAAGGATAAAAGCCCCCAAGAAAATCTTGAGATGAGCCCTTGGTGGGGCGGGGAGCATGTTTGGTTCTTGCTGGATGCAGACTAATACTTCCTCTACATTGTTCCAAACAAACGCTGTTGGGACAGGCACAGCACAGGGTTAGATACAGAGTAAAGCTCGCTCTACACTGTACACATCCCACCTCCCAGGACAAGTGGGTTAAGAGTGCTAATTGGTGTAACCCTGACCCACCTTAATTAACCTGCATCTCTTATGTGTGAGATTGCCAGGTTAGGAGCTGTTATGGACCGTCATTCCAAGCACACTCACTGTCTATGAAGCTGGATGAACCAGAGATGATCAGTGATTTAAAACCAAAATGGAACTGCACTTAAAGGGGTTTAAAAAAAACATGCAGGGCCACAGGGTGGAGGACAATGTCACTAGACTATTAATTCAGAACTCTAGATGGTTCATCTGGGAATGTTAGTTCAAATCCTACCTTGGCAGATGATGAAATTAGCTACCATGTAACCATTGTCAAAAACCCATTTGATCCATTAATGCCCTGTAAAGAGGGAAATCAACCTTGTTTGACATACATGTGATTTCAGACCCACAGCAATGTGGTTAAATATTATCTACCCTCTGGGCAAATAGAAATGGGCAGTAATACTAGCCTAGCCAGAAATGTCCACATCCTGTTAAAATTTTTATTTCTAAAACAAACAGGGAATTGGACTGTGTGTTGCTCTGCAGAGCCAGCATGGATCAGATGGGCCAAATGGCCCCATATTGAACTGACTTTATGATTAGACACAACTGGATTCAGACTGTTGATAAGGATTGTATCTTTAATTTTATTTACCACCTTCAGAATTCCACTTCCTGAACTAAAAGATTCTGACAAACTGGACAAGATAATGATAATGAAAGAAGCCACAAAGCGGGTGAAGCTGGGGCCGGACTGCCTGCCCTCCATATGCTTTTACACGTTTCTGAATGCTTATCAGGTGAGTGGTTTACTACATAGTGACATGCTGCAGTCTCTCCTCTTCATCTGAGGAAGCACTCTCTCCTTGGTCAAGGACCTCCTTCTTGCCTGCCTGTCATTGGGAAGGTGCCAGGCCTGCTGTGTGATTTAACAAGGTATAGAGCTAGATGAAGACAGCTGGCCAGGCAGCATGAGAAGAGCAGGAAAGCAAGACGTTTTGGAATTTCTGAAGAAGGGTCCAGACCCGAAACGTCAGCTTTCCTGCTCCTCTGATGCTGCCTGGCCTGCTGTGTTCATCCAGCTCTTCACCTTTTTATCTCAGATTCTCCAGCATCGGCAGTTCCTACTGTCTCTGCTGTGTGATTTCCTGTTCCTCACTGTGTCAGGGAGCGCCTCAAACTCAGGAGATAGCCAGTGCTGATCAGACTGTTGGTTAGAGACTAGGTTAGGAGCAAGTAGACCGCAGGAAATGATGATTCCCAGAATACTTGAAGAGAAGTGGCTAGCTGGAGATAGCTGAATATTTTCAGTGTCATTGTTGTTTAGTATGTTTGCTACTAGTTACATATAGCTAATTCAAAATCCAAATGTGATAAATTGTCATTCTGCTTTTTGCATGACATGAGGAGTCAACATCACTTATCAGACCTGAGACCTCAGTTCACTTGAAACTTGGGGTATGTCAATAGAGCAGACAAGAATCTGGGTGCGAGTATTTTTGTTTTGATGGTTGTGGCTGCCTTCCTTTCTTGGTACTAAACAGGAGGAGATATTTATTTGTCGAATTGTCATTGGCCATCTCTTAATTCCAGGATAATATTCTACTTGGTTGTGAATTTCTGCTGTGGGTCTCCATATTGTCATGCCTCATTGCAGTAATGCACTGGAAATCAAGCCCTGTTATTCCCAGAGTTGTCACAAAAGTTAAAGATTTTATCAATGTACCAAAATTCCCTAACTTATCTACCCTTTTAAACTCAGGTTTCTGTGCTTAACCAGAATGACTGTTTATTACAACTAAATAGATTCTAGTTGCAGGTAAATAACTGAACTGTCAACATTTAGGTCTACTAGTTAAAGCTGTAACCCCTTTATAAAGCTCCCTACATACACAGACAAAGATAAAATTGGTTTTATGTGTAGAGGGAAAAGCTGAGAAAGCAATTCAATGGCACCTGTCCATAGAGTTTGCTGAGACAGTCCTTTTGTTTGTCCGGACTTGCTGTTTGTCAATCTTTCTTCAGGTACTTTTCACTTTCACTCAGCACTCCCTTGCAGAAGGCACAGAGTAACTGGTTCACAAATTATAAAATCACTGACATGCTGATTAAAAGCAACAGCTGACAGCATCGCGAACAAAAATTGCTGAATAAACACAGGTCTGGCAGCATCTGTGGTGATAAAGCAGAGTTACCGTTTCAGGTTAAGTGACCCTTCTTGAGTTCTGAAGCACCTTCCAACCCCACAACCATCACCAGCTACAAGGACAAGGGCAGCAGATGTCTGGGACTACGCCCACATGCAAGTTCTTCTCCGAACCACACAGTTCCCTTACTGTCACTGGGTCAAAGTCCTGGCGCTTCTTTCCTAACAGCTCTGTGAGTGTTCCTACACCCAAGCACTGCAGAATTTCAAGGAGGCAGCTCACCAGTACTTTCTCCAGGGCCATTATCAGGGGGGATGATGGCCTAGTGGTATTATCGCTGGACTGTTAATCCAGAGACCCAGATAATGTTCGGTGGACCCAGTTTCTAATCCTGCCGTGGCAGATGGTGGAATTTGAATTCAATAACTATCTGGAATAAACAATCTAATGATGACCGTGAATTCATTGTCGATTGTCGGAAAAACCCATCTGGTTCACTAATGTCCTTTTAGGGAAAGAAACTGCCATCCATACCTGGTCTGGCCTACATGTCACTCCAGACCCACAGCAACGTGGTTGATTCTTAACTGCCGTCTGGGCAATTAGGGATGGGCAATAAATGCTGCCTAACCAGTGACGCCCTCATCCCGTGAATGAATGGAAAAAAAATTTAATGATAGACAACAGATGTCGTGTAGGGGCAGGGAGAAGTTTGGGCTGTCTTGGTAAAGGGGAGAGCAGAGGTAAATAAGGTGATAAAGATGCTATGTGGGATTGAAGTCTTTAAGTGAAGTTGTTGAAAATAAAACCAAGAAAATAATCATGTTACTGTTCAAGACTTAGGGTAGGAGGGTAGTTGCACTTAAATTGCTCTCGTAGAGAGCCAGCACAGAGAAGATGGACTAAGTGGCTGTTTCCTATGCAGTAACTATTCTTTCATTGTATTAGTACTGAGTGCACTGCCATTGTTTTAATGACAAATTTTTCAGAAATGTCGTCCTGTTATATATGCTTTCTAATTTATAATCTCCCTTTTCTGTACTGGCACAGGGACTCACTGCAGTTGACTTCACAGATGATTCTAGTCTGATCGCAGGAGGATTTGCTGATTCCACTGTCAGAGTGTGGAGTGTCACACCGAAGAAGCTGCGCAGTGTCAAAGGGGCTACAGGTAAAACAAGCCAGCAGCCTTCTTGCTGGGGCTGTGCTGTACTGACCCCAAGCAAATAAAAGGGCTTCAATGTTGGATGTAGTCAGTTTAGGAAATCAGACATTTTGTTAAACCAGTTTCCCATTTTCAGAAAAGTAACCCACAGAGCTTTACAGCCTCAATGTCTGTACTTTCAGGCTAATTGGAATAGAATCTTGCAGAACGAAAGGAAGTCATTCAGCCCCTCAGCTCTGCGTCACTCTCGAAGAGCTTTCCAATTTAGTTTCACACCCGGTCTGTTTCCCGATAACCTTGCAAATTAGTTCCCTTTTAGTATATGTCCAATTGTCCAATGGATGACCTCCTTTGGAATTGATTCCCTTGCCCTTTAAGGCAGTGCATCCCTGGTCATCTGAACTGCGTAAGAAGTGGAGCGCAGCAAGTGAAAGGGCCCAATTAATGGGCTGTAGTTATTTAATATTGGTAGTGGCTGTAGCGTTGGTGGTGAAAAGCCAGTAGGCTCAGTGTCAGCACTATCAAAAGCTTAGTGCTTGTGATTGCGATTGCAGGTATAGATCCTTCTCCTGTCACCCTGCACTCCTCCTGCCATTTCTGTGAGTGTGTAGCTTGAACAAATTTGAGTAAGCTGCACTATATCATACAGACTGCCTCATGGGTTTTAATCACAGAACCTTGTGAACTGCAAGGAATTCGCCATGCAGCCCCGTTTGTCTTTGCACACATAACCAGTTTAGTATTGCAGCCCTTGGAGGTCAAGGAGACCACTCATGGCATGCTGTGATTTAATTTTGGTACATATGTATACATCTGCAGAAAGTTTCTGGTCATATCCAAGAGTGGCTGACGTACAGAAGATGTGTTGGCACTTGGGCACAGTAAATCTAGAGGCAGTGGGCTCAATAACTGCTTTGTCTTTCCCCTACTAGATCTCAGTTTAATTGATAAAGAGTCAGACGATGTGCTGGAGCGAATAATGGACGAGAAGACTGCCTGTGAGTTTAAAATGCTACTGGGACATGGGGGCCCAGTTTATGGGACAAGTTTCAGTCCCGACAGGTAAGGAATAGTTTCTTTTATAACTGTAAATTAACAGACCACGGCTTTCACTGTCAGAAAATAAACACTTTCATTTCTTTTAAGTTTTTCATGACCTGGGATGTTCAAAAGTGCTCTACAGTTAATGAAGTGTTTATTTATTGTAATGACTCGTAAATTCGGAAACATGGCAACCAAGTTTACCCACACAAGTCCCGTAAATGATGATGAAATTAATGCCTAGATAATCTTTATTTAGTAAAGGTTTGGAACTTAGTACCGTAAAGAACAGTAGAGACAGAACCTCTTGACTCGTTTAAGAAGCCTCTGGATATGCACCTCAAATGCGTAACCTGCAGGGGTATTGGCCAAATGCTGGAAAGTGGGATCAAGCTGGGTGGCTTAGTTTTCAGCTGATGCTGCCGGAGTTGTCCATGTGGTCTCTTTGCTGCTGTCATTTGTCTATGATTTTATGATTGGTATTTTGATGTGCCACAGAGGAGAACTCTTTCAGTATAGGAATCTTTTGTATCGACTGCGCAGGGTAATATGCACATGCCCAGTCAAGTAGCTATACCATCAAGAGTTGGAACTGTTTGCAGGTCAGTCATTCATCTGTAAACGTGAGCTGGCTGGCACTTGAATGCCTACCTCTCTTCACTAAATAATCTATTTTGCTGGAGGGTGCTGTGCCACACACACGAATAGTGACAGTGAGTGCTCTTTTAGCAAAGGTATTTACAAGATGGTGAAGTTACATCCATTGAAAAGCTCATGTATCTAGTGTGAGGGGAATGAAAGGGATCTTTCCTCTTGCTTGCTAGCTTCTTTAGAGAGGGGAAGCTTACAGTTTTTCTGCACTCTCTCTTGTCCAGGAACTACCTGCTGTCCAGTTCCGAGGATGGCACAGTGAGACTCTGGAGTCTGCAAACCTTCACCTGCCTTGTGGGCTACAAAGGACATAATTATCCAGTATGGGATACACAGTTTTCTCCATATGGCTACTACTTCATTTCAGGGGGTCATGATCGAGTGGCACGGTGAGTATGGAGTCACGATTGAGTGCCAGTGTGGACTGGCATGACTCAATTCAGAGGAATGTGCCATTAATCAAGCTCCGCTATTCCACGATCTGTCACAGAAGTGTACCCAACCGTTTAAACTAACAGCACAATGAATTTGTCTGCCTGACTGCATAACGTTTCATTATTAACAGGACAATAACCGTATTTATTATAAACAAGCGTATGGCAAACAAAAATGGATTACTCGTTGCTACTTCACAATGTAAGCCAAACTCTCTCAAAATGCCAAACACACACTTATTTGCAAATAAGACAGACTAAAATGGACAGTTTGACAAATATACTAATGATGGAACAATAGCGAAAAACAAATTCTGTATTTTGAGTCCCGACCACAAGGATGGGATGAATTGTTCCTCAGTTTTTCATGTGATAGTGATATGACATGGTCTGCAGCACGATAGTCAGTCTTCGATTCAATAGCTGATCGGGTGGGACGAGTCTTTTGCATTGGAATTCTTTCTTTTCAGACTTCAAATCTCTCTTTCTTTCTTACGGATAGAGTTGTGTTCCTGTTTGCAGGCTTTTGGATGTCTCTAAATGCCCTGATAGGTCTTTTACGCACTGTCCCTGAAGCAATCTTAACGTTGCTAATAGGAAGCTTCTCCTCAATTTGAAGATTCCTGGTGCCGCTGTGCCTCATAAAGTATCCGACTCATTACAAAAAGTAACAATCTCCAGCAGCTAAAGCATACACCAATCAATCCCACTTGATCTTCAAGTTACAGAAACTTTCCTGGCACTTTTAACTGTATGGCCATCTAACTTCCATTTTTTGGGGGTTGGGAAGAGAAGGATGGTCCCTTACAGGAGCCACAATTGAGAATCACAGTTAGTCTGACGTCAGGGGTCACAATTGAGTGACATGGTGAGTGTGCAAGGGTAGGGTCATGCTTGAGTAATTGGTGAGTGTAGGATTCCAGTCAAGTGGCATGATTGTACATAAGGTCATGATTGAGTGGCTTGTTGGGTGGGCAAATGAGTGCAGGATTGCGATATTAATGCAACAATGTTACTTTTGAATGAGTGTCCCATTGTTACCGATGTGGATATATGGTGAAACAAGCCTTTTAACTGGATTGTGATTTTTAGCGTTCTTTGAATTAAGACTAATGAACTAATAATGTACTACCATGTGGGATAAGTCAAAGTCAGAATGAGATACAGTTATTCAATCCATCTGCCTGAAGTCAGTGCCTGACTACTCTAACTCAGAAGTACGCAAACTGTTGAGCTCGGCGGATATCAATCCAGCTTTTTGTTAAAGAAGGCAATTAACTCTGAATCAAGTCCCTTCTCTGGAAGCTTGATCTGTATCTAACACCCAATAACCCTGCTGCAGGTTTCTGAATGTTTTGCACATTTTCTCCAATCACCTTATTTTGGTTCAATTGTTTATTTATTCTCACCACACCTTCCAGTATTTACAAACCATGTGTCCCTTCAGTCTGTTCCTCCGGCCAAAAGCAACTCAGTTGCTTGAGTCTTTCTTCATTAGCTGAGTGTCTGTCTGGTCATGAGCACTGAACCCTTCTAAAGCATTTGTGTTTGCTTCTGACATTCAGGACGGACTTGTGCATAAATGTATTTTAACACGGCAGCATGGTGTCTCCCTAGGGCCACGTGCACAGTGTGAATGACATTGGCCATGGGTATTCGTAAGATGGAGCTGTATTAGTTAATAGTTTGGGACTTTCTGTTCCTTAGGCTTTGGGTGACTGACCATTATCAGCCACTGCGAATATTCTCTGGTCACCTGTCTGATGTCACCTGCACGAGATTTCATCCCAACTCAAATTATGTAGTGACAGGATCTGCAGACAGGACCATCCGACTGTGGGACGTTCTAAATGGCAACTGTGTTCGAATCCTCACTGGACACAAGGTATGAAATGCTGGCGTGGAAGTTGTTGATGAGTGTGTGAACACTGCCCATGTGCCTGCTTAAGCAGACCCTCTTGTTAATGTTCCTTTTCTGTATTCCTCCCAGGGACCGATCCACTCATTGGTGTTCTCTCCAAACGGTAGATACCTGGCCTCTGGGGCTACAGATGGCCGGATTCTGCTATGGGATATCGGGCATGGGTTACTTGTAGGCGAGTTGAAAGGTCACACTGATACGATCTACGCACTGAAGTTCAGCCGAGATGGGGAGATTCTAGCCTCTGGTGAGAATTTGCTTTTGGAGAGTCAGTCAAGGATAGAGTTATTAAATCCTTCATTCTCGCTGCTGGCATGGCCAGCATTGATTGACTACTGTCTCCTAATTATCTGAAATGACAGTGACAATCCTCCTTCAACCATTTTGTAGTGGTTTGATGTAAGTGGGAGTGGTCTTTTCATAGGTATGATAATCACCTGTAGGCTCAGACCGGGTAAGGACAACAGCTTTCCTTCCCGAAGGATGTTAGTGACCCAATTGGTTATTACAATAATTCAACACCTTCACAGTAGCAGAGAATATCTTCTCAGGGATTTTCAAAATTTAAATTTATATTCCCAAACTTGCCCTGTAAGGTTTGAGTTCTGATTCCCTGGGTTATTAGTACAGTCGGAGATCTCTACCCTGCTGATAGCTATCCAATTCATTATCCTACCAGGATTATTGATTGTTGCTTTGCATCAGTTGGAGATGTTGACCCAGTGTCGACTGATGTCAGCATGGGTCCTGGGTCAGTTTTGTCTCCTGAGCCACACATTGTAGGAATCAACTCCGAAAGCTGCTTGCCCCATAATGGGGCTTAGGAGTCAATGTAACAATGTCAATTGGGAAGTCCCTTGGAAGTTGTCACTCCTGCACTGGTGAGAAGTTCCACTCTACTCCCAGTGAAGTAACACAGGTGGACCAAGGAGTGTGGGAAGATCCCAGCTGTAAACTGTTAGACATTTCTCACTGCATTGCTGGGCAGGGTGAGGGGATAAATTATTGAAGCTTAGTATCTTCTGGTCATCAGATCAGTTTGCAATTAGATGTAACTTGCAATTGGACAACATTTGCTGCATAATCCTGTGTGAAGAATTGCCCTGACAAACAATACATATTAGTACAGAGGATCCTATTCTTTGGAGATAGAACATGTGCACATCACTCACAGGTTCATTTCTCAGGGCAGTGACAGTCAGTTATCATTACAGGTTTAAAAATGTAAAGTTTGGCAATTAACTGGCAGCCCATCATCAAACTCTTTATGGCAATAGCTCTACGAGAGTCCATTTGCTAACCAATCAGCAGTGTTTTCCTTTTGTGTGTATTTTGAGTTTTCCTGAGTGCAAGATGATGTTGTAAGTGTTTTTTTTTTCAGTAATACTCCAATTCTACAATGCCAAATGACTTGGTCACTATGCTGATGTGAATCTTCTGAATTGTTGTTACAGGTTCAATGGATAATACAGTGAAAATGTGGGACACAGTCAAAGCCTTTGAGGATCTGGAAACAGATGATTTCAGTACTGCCACTGGGCATATTAACTTGCCTGACAACTCACAAGAGCTGTTACTTGGCTCCTATATGACTAAATCCACCCCAGTCATTGGCCTGCACTTCACTCGCCGTAACCTCCTACTGGCTGCAGGGGCATACAACCCACAGTGACGGCAAAACCCCAACTCTTGCTCAGTCTTTTCCCATCCTCATTCTCTGGTCCCCACCAGCGCTGCCAAAATGGATGGAGGATGTAGATATTTTCACAGTATCTGTGAAATTCTCTTGTATTCCCTTCCCACCCAAAATCCCTCTGAACCCCATAGCCATTTACGACATATTGTCGTGCAGGAACATTTTGCATTACATTGAATGAATGGTGTTACTTTTTTTAAAGTCTTAATGAAGTTTGCAATAAAATACTGAAATCAATTATTGTGTTTCTCTGCAGAGGGGGAAGGAAAAGAAGGCTTCCCTTATTATATTGTAGGGGTCTGTATGCTCCAGCTTTATTTTGATTTTCAGGAGCAACAGCCAGCTTAGCGTTATATTTAATGTAAGCTTCTGCTGGCCTGCAGAAAGCTGTAATCAGTCAAATGCTAGAAATTCATTGTGCTAGCACATGTTAACAGACAAGGTTGTAACTCAAGCAGCTTCAGCCATGATAAACCAGCATTTGTGAACCACCCCAGAACGCTTTAGGTTTGTGTCTTCTCCAGCCCAGTCTCTAAATTCGAGCTCATTCTAAATCTCAGCTCACTAACCACCCTTAAAAATTGCTGCAGGGCTTTCTCTATTTAAAAATACTGATACAAAGTTGAATTTCAGTCACCCTGGAATGATGGCCATTTGTGTGAATTGAAAGTATGGAACTTGAACACTTACTTTTACATCCATTAAACAGCACAGCCGCATTTCATCATGATGGCCCATGAGTGAACAGTACCTATATTTGGAACAAAAACCAAAGTTGCTGGAAAAGCTGAGCAGGTCTGGCAGCACCTATGAAGGAAAAAAAAATTAACGTTTCCGGTCCAGTGACCCTTCCTCAGAATAGGACCAGCTGAGCTTTTCCAGCAACTTTGTTTTTGTTCCTGATTTACAGCATCCACAGCTCTTTCAGTTTTTATTTAGTACCTATATTTGCTCTGGCTTCCAATCATGCTCAGTATATTGCCAGTACTCATTTTTTTGTGGGCTTCGTGGAAGAATATATAGCCTGCAATATGAGCTGCTTTTTGTTACATTGCCAGTCTTTTCAATCAAATCTATAATTTTTTTCTGTTAAACATTAACCTGGAAATGAAAAGGTGTGTAGTGCAATATGAATTTCAAAGCTGTACCTTATTAAAGAACACACATCAAAATGTAGAGAGTTTGGAGTGTGAGGGTCAAGGTTGCTGGTGGAACAACACAGGCAGGTCAGTCATTTCCTTGCTCCAAAGATAGTAGTATCACACAACCATTTCACTTAAAGGTAAACACTACAACTGTGGAGTCCCACGAATTTTATTTGTGAAGGCTGATAACTTATAACACATCACTATATGACACGATTGTAGGGGGTTTCAAACATTCTCTCTGATTCCACACAATGGTCTTTAAACTCCACTAGCCCTGTCTTAAGGAGAATCTGAAATGAAATCAAACATACAATAAATTTCACATTGAAACAAACATTTCATATTGATCTTCTCTATGAATAATTAAAATTCCAATTAAGTCAATGACACTGGCAAAATGGAATTTTTATCATAATTACAAGAGGGCAATTTGCCTAGGAATTGAAGGTACTCCAATGCTCACCAAATGTTGTGACACAGCAGGGGATTCGCATCAGAGTAAAGCTCTTTCAGACCGAAAATAAAATTTCCTTGACACTCTCCATCAAACGCACCCAAGACAGGAACTATACAGTATTAGATACAGACTAAAACTCCCTCTACTCTTGAATAGAAATGAAATGTCCCGTGACATTATTTGACGGAAACACTCTCTGGCCAAGGATAGCACAGGGTTAGATGCACAGTAAAGATGCATTCTTTTAAGACAAAGTGAAGCTGGTTCAACATCACTATCTAACCCTGTGTTATACCTGTCCTGAGGGGGGATTGATGGGAGTAAAGCTCTCTCTTTTCAACCAAAAGTTAGGTTAACTCTACACTCCCCATCAAGTATACACACAGCAGGGATAGTACAGAGTAAAAAATTCCTCACCACATCATTTATGTTCTGTGATTGCCGGTGGTGTCTTCTTTTTTGATCTTAATTTGAAGAACAAACAAATTGCTGCGATCCCAGCGTACGTTGCTATCACATACTGTGAACACAGACAGCACGTTAACAACAAACCTGCTCAAAAATGAAAAAGGAAAGCTCACAACAGTCAGAGACGGAGGGATCATATTTAAAAAAAAACGGACCATGTGAAATGGATTTGAATTCTCTAGAGTTTAGACTCTCATTCAAAAGTTAAAATAGCCCCCAAGTATCTATTATCTCCTGTAAGAATTCAAAAACAGAGCAAGAGGAGGCCTTTCAGTTCTTTACACCTGATACTCCATTCAATAAAATTGTGGCTGGTCTGCCAGCTCATCTCAGTATGGAAACATTAATTGATCTTGGTCCTGAACACACAGTACCAAAGTAATCCAAGGCACAGAATTTCAAACAAAAAACAATTCTTTGATGAAGGAATTGCCTTCGTCTGTCTGTCCAAATGGCTGATCCCTTTATCCAATGGCATGACTTCGACAACCAGGGACCACAGCCAAGGGAAAAAGTTTCTCAGTATTTACACTGAAGTAAAGAATTTTATACATTGGATGAGATCGCCACTCATTCTTTTAAAGTCCAATAGGTGTACATCAATTTGATTCAATCAGTCCTCAAATCAGTAAATTTCCATCATAATCCATCTCATGTTAACTACACCCTCAGATAAGTGGATCAAAAATTGGACGCAGTACTCCAGAGACAGTCTTACAAGTTTAACTGTAACAAAACATCTTTAATAATCCAACATTCTTATACCAGCATCCTTCCTATTTGCTTGCTGTACGTCCATCTCAAGTTTGTGATTCACTTATAAAAAGACCGAAGCATTTACTCACCTATAAAAAAAAACAAACAAACAAACAAACAAACATTCTGCTTGTCCATTCCTCCCCAAAGTGGAAAATTCCACATTCCCAACATGATCCTTCATCTGCTCATCATCTTTCCCAATCACTTAACAGCCTCTTTCTGTAATGCATCTATTGCATTTTACGGAATCTCACTGTGCACATATTGCTACAAGGAGTTCTACATTACAACAATCAACCTGATTTTCAAAAGGTCTTCTCCCTCACAGACAATTGAGTGGAACTAGTGTCAGGAGGATACAGTTTACAGCAATTCACTACCACAGTGAGGCCAGTAACATACTGCCTACAGTACGAATGATAGGAGAACTCTCAGTGGACTGAGGGACAACACCATCATAGTTCAAATTGCATCTTTCTTGAACTGCATTTATCAAATAGCGAGAGACTGTAATCCAGGGACATCCAATCATTTCATTCGACTCCCTAGGTCATCTGTAACGTTCAGATCACTGATCCCAGTAATTTTCAGAAATCTCAGGTTGCCGATTCAGAGTTCTGGATATTCTGATGGTCAGTTCCACTACTGAAGCAACAATGCTCAGAGCAGCCTCATCCAAATCTCAATGTCCAGAAAATTCACACCAGACAAGAAGAAGTGTAAATTCCAGTAGGAAGGAGTCAGCCAAGGAACACTCTCTCTTGGATATTTAAGCCAGTGATGACATTTTAAAAGTCATTACGTGGCTGAGAAATATTTCCAGATGTCACAAAGATGGGATAATGCTGAACAGAGGTATTTCCAACTACCTTTCAAATAGACAGGAGAAGGCCATTTAATTAAATCATGCCTGATCTTATCCAAACTTCTTCAATCTGTTTCACTTTCAAATCACATCCTTGACTAACAAAAGTCTCTGACCTATCATCAATTTGTTCCTTTAGGAGCGTTCCTCAGTTTTCTCTCAATGGGGAGGTGATGCTTACGAGTATTATCAATATCACTATTAATCCAGAAACTCAGCTAATGATTGAATTCCACCATGGCAGATGGTGAAATCTGAATTCAATAAAAACTATCTGGAATTAAGGATCTACTGATGACAATGAAATCATTGTCGACAGCTGGAAAAACCCGTCCGGCTCAGTAAATGTCCTTCATGGAAGGAAATCTGCCATCCTCATCTGGTCTGACCTACATTTGACTCCAGAGTCACACCAACGTGGCCGACTCTCAACTGCCCTAGCAAGTCACTCAGTTGTATCAATTGCTCTGAAGGCTCAACAAAGAAATGAAAGCAGATGGACCATGTCATTGATCTACAAAGTGGAAAAGACAATGACAAAAACAGTCCTGGCAATCCTGCGAAGTCCTCCTTACTAACAACTGGGGGCTACTGCTAAAATTGGGAGAGTTGTCTCACAGACTAGTCAAGCAATAGCCTGACATTGTCTTTAAGGTGTGATTCTGAGAGTATGGTTATGTCCCAGACACCACCACAACCACCCCTGGAGATATCCTATTCCACCAGCAGTACGGTGGTATACAGTCAAGAAGGAGTCCTCAACATGGTCTCCAGACCCCATGAGGTCTTAGGCCTCCAGGTCAAACACTGGCAAACAAACCTGCTGATCATCACGTACCGTCCTTGCTTGACTTATGAATCAGTGCTCTTTCATGTTGAATAACAGTTAGAGGTAGCAAGGGAACAAAATGTGCTCTAGGTGGGAGATTTCAAGGTCCACCAGCAAGAGTGCCTCAGCAGCAACACTGCAGATTGATTGGTCAGCTGCTAAAGAACCTGGCTGCTAGACTCAGTCTGCGGCAGAGGTAAGAGAACCAACCAGAGGGAAAAACATACTTCACCTCACTCTTGCTAAACTGTCAGCTGCAGAAGCATTGCATAGTTCTTGTAGAGGTAAAGTCCTGCCTTCACGTTCAAAATACCCTCCATCTTGTTGTGTTGCACTATCACCGTGTTAGATGGATGCCCTGTCGAGTTGTTGGATCTGTTCCAATAGGCACTGTGGGCCGTTAACAGCAGAACTGTTCTCCAGCAGAAACTGCAACCTCACGGCTTGACATATCCCCAACTCAACCATTACCAATCAAGCCAAGAATCAACCCCAAGATAGTAAAAACTGTCAATGCTGGAGTCAGAGATAACACAGCTGGAGGAACACAGCAGGCCAGGCTACATCAGAGGAGCAAGAAAATTGACGTTTCGGGTCAGGAGCCCCTGGTTCAATGGAGAGTGCAGGAGGGCATGCCTGGAGCAGTACCAGGCATATATAAAAGTGAAGCATTAGCCTAGTGAAGCTACAAAGATAGGACTACTTGCATGCCAAAACAAAGTAAGCTGCAAGTGATAAACTTGCAATCTCAAAACCAACAGATCAGATCTAAGCTAGTACAATCATAAATGGTGGTGGACAAATGAACAACTCACTGGAGAAAAAAGCTCCTCAAATGATGGAGAAGTCCAACACATCGTTGCAAAAAAATAACGCTGATACATTCACCACAATCTCAGCAAGAAGCGCTAAGTCGATGAACCATTTCAGCCTCCTCCAGTACTCCCCAGCATTACAGATACCAGTCTTCAGCCAATTTTATTCACTCCACGTCTTATCAAGAAACGGTTGGAGGCTGTGGATACCACAAAGGCTATGGGGCTATGAAAACATTCCAGCAATAGTACTGAAGACATAATACAGAAAAAATTGCCCGGGTATGTCCTGTACACAAAAAGCAGGATAAATCAAATCCAAACAATTACTGCCTCAGTCTACTCTCAAATCATTATTAGAAGTGATGGAAGCTATCATAAGTACTTTTCAGCAGCACCTTCTCAACAAGAACTTGCTCATGGCTCAGTTTTGGTTCTGCCAGGACCACTCAGCTCCTGACCTCATTACAGCCTTGGTTGAAAAGCACTGAAGTCCAGTTGAGGTGAGAGCAGCAGCCCTTGATATCAAGGCTGCATTCAACCAAGGGTGGTATCAAGGACCCCTAGCAAAACTGGATTCAATGGGTACTGGGGACAAACGTCCATTGGTCGGAATCATACCTGGCACATAGGAAAATGGTTGTGTTCGTTGGAGGTCAGTTATTTCAGCCCCAGGATGTCGCTGTGGGAGATCCTCAGGGTAGTGTCCTAGGCCCAACCATCTTCAGCTGCTTCAATGATCTTCCCTCCATAAGATGATCAGAAGTAGGGATGTCCACAAATAATTGTCAATGATCAGCACCATTTGCAACTCATCAGATGCTGAAGCAGCCCATGTTCAAATGCAGCAAGGTCTGGACAATACCCAGTGTTGGGCTGATAAATGGCAAGTAACATTTGTAACAGACAAATGATCACCTCTAATAGGAAACAATCTAAGCACTCCTAACTTGACATTCTGTGATGTTATGATCACCGAATCTCCCATTAACAACATTCTTTGGGTTACCATTGACCAGAAACTCAACTGGATCTGCCACATAAATACAATGACCATAAGACCAGGTCAGGAATACTGCAACAAATAGCTCACCCTTGACTCCCCAAAACCTGTCCACAATCTACAAGGCTCAAGTCAGGAGTGTGACCAACACCACATCCACACTTTCCACTAGCAGGAGCAGTGTGTGCTATTTACAAGATGCACTGCAGAAATTCAAAGATCCTTAGACAGCACCTTCCAAACCAATAACATCATCTAGAAGGACAAGCAGATACATAGAAACATCACCACTTGCAAGTTCCCCTCCCAGTCACTCACCATCCTGAATTAGAAATATATTGCCATTCCTTCATTGTCACTGGGTCAAAACCCTGAAATTACATCCCTAATGGCATTGAGAGTCTACTTGTAGCACAAGGACTGTGGCAGTTCATGAAGGCAGCTCGTCACCACCTTCTCCAGGGCAAGTGGGGACAGGCAACATATGCTGACCAGCTAGCAACTACTAAATTCCACAATTGAAAACAAAAAGTCTCCTCTTTAATGGTACTTACATTCCTCCTCCCAGTGATGGTGTAAGAGTTGAAGTACTTCTGGAAGCCAGTGAACTGGTGCTGGCTACCAGCATCATGACCGGCCATCCTCTCTCCTCACTCAAGCTGTGGAGGGAAAAATAACAATTTAAAACAAATTTGAACACAAATGATCAGATGTCCCAGTGCCAAACATACAGTGCCTATCACCATCAAACAGGACTGAAAAACTCTTTCATCTCATTTCAGGCTTTGCATGTTTTGCTTAGGGTCAGTTGCAGTTTCATATCCTAACATCAACAGCTGGGCTGCTTAAAGTGATGATTCAAAGGGGTGGGATTCAGTGAGGGGCGAACACAAGACTCTCCAGAAATTAAGAACTTAAGTTTGTCCTGAGAATTGCAAGAACTCCCTTGAGATCTCTACTACACGCCTCCTAAGACCTTTTACTCCGTACACTGGCTGCTTGACATTTATGATGGGGACCATTTGCCACAGCGCCACTTCACTAGGAGGGTGGAACTACAGCGTGACAGTTTACATTGACAATCCCCATATATCATCGAGGACAGCAACCGGGCGTATTACAGGAACCTTTTTCACTGGAAACCCAGCACCACCCCATCCCCCAGCCGTTGGTTGGGACAAGTCGGGCTCTGAAGCACAAGCTGGAATGGGCCTCAGGGCCGTCGAGTCAAATGGGGTTTGGGGGAGTGGGGGAAGGGGGGAGTGGGGGAAGGGGGGAGTGGGGGAAGGGGGGAGGGCGGGAAGGGGGGAGGGCGGGAAGGGGGGAGTGCGGGAAGGGGCGAGGCGGGCACGCCAGGTCCAGGACGCTACTGTGCCTTGCCTTCATTCTCGCAGATTCCTCCCCAAATGCAGCGACAGACTGCATCGTCGACATGACCGAGAACAGAGTCGCAAACCCCAAAACCAACTCTCACCCTCACCTTCACTCAGTCTCTTCCCGTGCCCTTCACAGGCCCCAACCACCAAGCCCGCCGCTGCCGGAAATACCGCCCTCATCCCACTCCTATTGGTCCAAACAACCATCACTTAGCCGCATAACCGCCAGCTGGACGTTACGTCGGAGGAACGCTACTACCATTGGATAATATAGATGTCAATCACAACTACATCCTAACAGTTCCCCGTAGTGAATGGGCAACATAACTGTCAATCGTAACGGTCAGGGGGGAGAGTCGGTCGGTTATTGGCTGTCCGTTGTCATACCGGGCTCACCTCCGTGACGTAAAGACAGCCGCCTCCCATTCCGACATTATAATTGGACAAGAGCTGCATCCAGTACAAAAATACCCCATGGTGATTGGTCTATACAGCGGGGACACTGATTAGTTGACAGTATTCGCCGGAAGCAGTTGTCCATGGGCAGTGAATGTTTCCGGAGGTCAGTGTCATGACCGTGGCCATGTGAACGAGAAGAGGTTCGGTTTTGGCAGAATCAGTTACTGAAGTTCTTCTCGGTAATGTTCGTATGATCAAACATAGCTGGAAATATCGTTCATATGGTCACCCCCATCCCTCGGTCTGAATGTTGTTCTGTTCCTGATAGTCTTTGTCTGTTGGAGTCGGTGGGTTTGTACACCACACGTAACTGGATTATAATGTGCTCACCCCCTGCTTCCTGTAAGGACCCCCTCCCCATCCTATCCTCCCAGTTTCTCTGTCTCATCTGTTCTGACGATGCTACCTTTCGCTAGGGGTGGGGGGTCTCTTAGAAATGTCTGAGGATTCACTGCCACCGTGGTTGACAGGGTCTTTAGCCATTTCCCACACTTCATCTATCCTCATCCCTTCTGTCCCCTCCAACAACAATAGGGATCCCCTGGTCCTCACTTTCCATCACACCAGCATCTGCATCCAAAGGATCATAAGCCACCGTTTCTGCCATCCCCAGTGGATGTCTCCACCAGGCACATATTGCCCTCCTCTCCCTTGTAAGTATTTTGCTGAGACTGTTTGTTTCCTCCAGGACACCCTGTTGCACTCCTCCTCCACGTCCAACATCCCTGTGGCACCTTGCTGTGCAACTACAGAAGGTGCAACACCTGCCTGTATACCTACTTCTTTGTCACTATCCAAGGTATACCTTCCAGGTGAAGCAGCAATTTACTTGTCGTTCACTTAATCTGTGTGGTCTCTCCTACGTTGGGGAGATGAAATGGAGACTGGGCATCCACTTTACAGAACACCTACTTTCTTTTTGCAAAACTGACCCTAAGCTTCCAATTGCCAACCACTTCATACACTCTGGCCAACATGTCTGTCTCAGGCAACTGCAGTGCTTCAGCAAGGCTCAATGCAAGTTAGAAGAAGAACATCTCATTTTCTGTATGGGGACCCTGTAGCCTTCGAGACTCCATGCCGTCTTTTACTCATCCCTACACCCCAGGCCCTGTCTTGACATGGACTGCTTTTAGCACAGCCAACCATTTGCACCCACTCATTGTCCCCATAATCAACATTTCTTTCTCCTGAGCATACTATTGCCCATTCCCTTTGTCTTCCTATCTGTCATTCTCCCTCTCTTTCATTGGGCTCCATGTCCAACATGTCCCCTCATTCCTTGTCCTTCCCCTGTCACCTATTGTCACCTTCTCCTAGCTACCATCTGTTCTGAAAGGTAATTTAACTCAAAATCTTAACTTTGCTTTCTAGCCACAGATGTTGCCAGATTTGTAACAATCTCTGTTTTGGCATTAGTCCACTCCTCACCTCATCTCCGGACCTTGCCTCAGCAACCACCACCACCACCCGCGTGTCCACCGCCCCCCCCCCCCCCCCCCCCCCCCCCCCCCCCCCCCATCAACTCGCCCAAATGACCTTCACCCTTCCGCAGAATTATCCTTTCCCACTGAACTGTTACTACTGTAAGATATTTTTACTTCTTTCTCCAGGTTGTGAGGATGGCTGCAATGGATGAAGATTTCCCTCGTGGAGGGGTGCAGAGGAAGCCCACTAGGGAAAAGGTGAAGAGGAGCAAGGAAGATGAAAACCTGTTTGGGGTAAGTACGGTGTCACACAGGTGTGGCTAGGAGTCAGTGGCAAAATTACAGATTAAATGAAGCATTTTGTTGTTTGCAGCAAAGTGAAAGTTAAGTAACTTGAGTTGTTCCCAATGCCTGTCACGTGCTGTATTGACCACTTGAAAAATGCCTCGCCTATGTGCCTTTGTGGCCATCCCATTGAACTGATAAATACTTTGAATTCTGGAAAACTTTCTTGTAGAACCAACTTGTTACAAAATGTTCAAAAAAATCAACAATTAAAGTACTGCTTTCCTTCCTGCAGAGAACATGAAGTGTGCAGGCAGTATAAACAGAGCTTTACCCGTGCTCTACCTGCACTGGGTGTGTTTGATGGGAACAAATTAAATACTACCATACAAAATAGGAGCAAAAGTAAACCATTTGGTTCCTTGAATCTGCTTCATCATTCAATCAAATTGCTGATCTGTTTGCATTTTAAATTCCAATTCCCATCCACCGAGATATCCCTGCCTAACAAGAATCTGGCCACCCTCTGCCTTAAAAATATTCAGTGACCCACCCACAGAAAGCAAATAATTTTCCTCATTTCTTCTGAAATGGCAACCCCTAGATCTGGACTAGCTTACAAAAAGAAATATATTTTCCGTGTTCACCCTGTCAAGACAATTCAGGATGTTGTATACTTCAATCAAGTCACCCCTCATTCTCCTGAACTCCAGATGAAGCAAGCCCAGCCTGCCCAAGTATTCTCATAAGACAACTGTTTCACTTCAGTTATCAACCTAGTAAACCTCCTCTGAACCATTTCTAATGCATTTACTTCCTTCCTTAAATAAGGTGACCAATACTACACAGTGTATTCGAGATGTGGTCTGACTAATGCCCTGTAAAACTGAAGTATAACATCTTTATTCTTGTATCCAATTCAGCTCATAATAAATAATAGCCCCCATTAGTCATCTTGATTATGTGTTGTATCTGCATACAAATTTTTTTGTGACTCGTGCAGCAGAATACATAAATCCCTCTAACTCAAAATTCTGTCCTTGTTTTCCATTTAAATAATAAACTGCTTTTTCATTCTTCCTATTAAAGTGAACAAATTCATAATTTTCCACATTATGCTCCATGGGCAGATTTTGCCCGTTTATTCAACCTATCCATATCCGTCTGCAACTTCCTTATCTGTTCGCATTATATGTTCCTACCTACCTTTTTGCCTTTTGCAAAATTTGTCACCATGCCATCACTCTCCTCATGTTACTTATTTTTATAAACTAAAAAGTTGAGGCTGCATCTCAGACCCCTGCAGGACTCTACTCATCACAGGCTACCAATCAGACAGACAAAACAATATGAATACTCTGTTTTCTGCTAGCCAGAATCTTCTGTTAATACTATCATGTTACACTCTACATCATGAGCATTTTTCCAAAATGACCTTAAACCATATCAAATGCGTCCTGGAAACCCAAGTCCAGCATGTCTACAGACTTTCCTTTACCTACTTGTACAAATAACTCCAGTAAGTTCGTTAAACATGATTTCCTTTTGATTTAATTATGCTGGCTGATCCCAATTAATGTGAGATTTTTCAGAGTGTGCAACTGTAATCTCTTAATGATTGATTCCAACACTTTCCCCATGACAGACATCAAGATAACTAGCCTATAATTTCCTGTTTTCTAACTCCCCTCCCTTGTTGAACAGAGGAGTTGCATTTGCCACTTTGCATTCCTGAATCGAGGGATGTTGGAAAATTAACACCAAAGCATCTACTACCTGATTAGGTACCTCTTTTAAGGTTCAAAGATGAAGTCCGTCGGGACCTTAACCTCCATCTGTTTTGGTACTACTTCCCTCATAATTTCTGTAAGTTCTTGCCTCCCTTCCACTGTCTTCCCTTCCTGATTTACGGCTGTGATGGAACATTTTTGTATCCCCTTTGCTGAAGACAAGCAAAATATTTGATCATTTCATCTGCCATTTCCTCATTGTCGACCATTAACTTCCCATTCTCACTCAATCTTTTCCTTTATAAATACCTGTAGAAACTCTTGCTATCCGCTTTAATGATTTTAGATAGCTTCTCCTCATAATCTGTATCTAACCCCATGCCGTACCTGTCTGGGTGTATTTGATGGTGACTGTATGGATGGAGCTTTAGTCTGTATCTAACCCCCATGCTACACCTGTCCTGCTTCCAGGTGCATCATGATGATGTAAGAAAGAAACAGAAAAGGAAGAGAGCAGAATTAATCCCTGTAAAAGCGAAGAAACAGAAGACAAAGAATGGTGGTACATTGCAAACAAAACAAAAGATTAAGGCACAGATTCTCTCCTTCAAGGTATGTAAATACAGCTGAACCTCTGAGAATGTGATCATCCTGAACACAGTGCTGGGTCTGCTTTTGTTTGTCATTTATATGAATGATTTAGATGGGAATATAGAAGGTATGATTAGTATGTTTATGGATGACACCAAGATTGGTAGTATACTGGACAGTGAAGAAGGTTATCTAAAACTACAAAGAAATCTTGATCAATTGGGTCAATGGGCTAAAGAGTGGCAGATGGGGTTTAATTTTGGATAAATGCGATGTATTGTACTTTGGTAAAACAAACATGGGCAGGACTTGTACAACTAAAACTAGGGACTTGGGTAGTGTAGTAGAACAAAGGCCTAGGAGTTCAGGTCCATAATTCTTTGAAGTTTGCATCACTTATAGACAGGGTGGTTAAGGAAGCATTTAGCATGCTTGCTTTCATCACTCAGACCTTTAACTTTAGCAGTTGGGACATTATGTTGTGGTTGTACAGGATGTTGGTTAGGCCTCTTCTGGAGTTCTGTGTACAGTCTGGTTGCCCTGTTACAGAAAGAATGTTATTAAACTGGAGAGGGTTGAAGACATTCATCAGGATGTTGCCTGAATGAAAGGTTTGAGTTATGTGGATAGGCTAAGACTTTTCTTACTGGAGCGTAGGAGGTTGAGAGGTGACTTTATAGAGGTTTATAAAATCATGAGGTGTGTTGATAAGGTGAATGGCGAGTGTCTTTTCCTTAAGGTGGGGGGTTTTAAGATTTCGAGACTAGAGGGCATATTTTTAAGGTGAGAGGAGGAAGATTTTTAAAAAGGTATGAGGAGCAGTTTTCTTTTTATACGGTGGTTCGTGTGTGGAATGAACTTCCAGAGGAAGTGATGGAAGCGGATACAGTTACAATGTTTAAAAGTCATTTAGATACCTACATCAATAGGAAAGGGTTGGAGTAATATGGGCCGAGTGCAGGCAGGTGGGACTAGTTCAGTTTGGGACTATGACTGACATGGACTGGTTGGATCGAAAGGTCTATTTCCTTGCTATATGAACTGAGTCTATGGCTGGGTAATTGGAGAATTTGCTGCAGTCTCCATTTTTTTGCCAGCATATACCTCCTCTCCCACCTCATTGTTAGCATACCCTCCCGAGACTCTGGAATGGAGTGCAGAGTTCCGGTTTGGAATTAATGTTCCAATCACACCCATTGCCCATCCTACACCAATCATCACACCTCATGCATGCTCGCATGGATTATTTAAACCAAGCAAATGATTTGAATTGTGTCTGTCACTCAGACCAAAAGCTGAGCTTCAAGCAGCCATGTGAAGTGCACCCCAGTTTTGTTCCCATTTCTAACCGCAGCATGAATTTTATATTAAGTCTTTAATGCAGTAAAAATATGAAGATGATCGTTATCAAAAAATACCTGATAAAAAATCAATTGACAAGAGCCTGGAGCAGATGGCCAAAGTAGAAATTTAAAGTAGAAGTGTGAAGGAGAGGTTGTGGACAGGATGAAAGCTGAAATTCCAGAATCAGGAACTAAAGATTGCACTACCCAGAATGATCATAAAAACAAACATGAATACGGAGCATGAGCCAGACTATTTAGTTCTGCCATTGACTAAAATCACAGTTACTGTTGGGCGGGCCTGTGGCCTACTCCCAAGAGTGCCATCTTCCCCATATTTATCTCTGCCAATATGGATCCATTCGCAAGATAATTTCTTGCTATGTACTTACTCCATCACGTACTAAAGGGGCTATCTCAACATCCTCCTTGCTTGTCGTTTTGAAAAATCACTGAATATTTAGTTTCCAGCTTTGATCTTCCTGTAACCATTACTCCATAATAACCAGAAGGTCATACCCATTAACCTCCATTTGTGCCATTACTTCCCTTGTTTTGAATGCTGTGTAAATTTAAGTCAAGTGCCAATCATTTTGCCTTTTTTAACCAGGTTTTCTTTCCTCCTTTGACCCTATTGGCTGCTTTTTTTTTAAATGCTTGTACACTCAGTCTTATAAAATTAACTTCTGGCATTTTCCCTATGATGGATGTTAAGATAACAGACCTGTAGTTTTCTGCTTTCTGTCTACCTCTTTTTTTTTTTAGAAAAGGAGCAAGATTCATTATTTTCCACTGTAATAGAATCTTAACTGAATCTAGGGAATTTTGCGTCATCTGTGTTGTGAGCACTTGGATCCAAGGATGAAGCCTGTCTGGACTGAGGGACTTGTCAGCCTGCAGCCATAACCATTTGCTCAATGCTAACTGTATATTTTCTAGTGTTCCTCCCTCCCTTTCATTTCCTAATTTATTTCTACTTCTGTGATGTAACTTGTACCTGGGGACATAGCTTTAAATTGAGGGGTGATAAATATAGTTCAGATGTCAGAGGTAGGTTCTTTACTCAGAGAGTAGTAAGGGCGTGGAATGCCCTGCCTGCAAAAGTAGTAGACTCGCCAACTTTAAGGGCATTTAAATGGTCATTGGATAAACATATGGATGATAATGGAATAGTTTAGGTTAGATGGGCTTCAGATTGGTTTCACAGGTCGGCGCAACATCGAGGGCCGAAGGGCCTGTACTGCGCTGTAATGTTCTATGTTCTATGTTCTATGTAATGCAAAGACTGATACAAAATACCTGTTCAGTTCATCTGCCATTTCCAATGTTAATATGTTATTAATTCTCCAGACTTGCTAATATAGGATCAGCTCTCAGTTTGTTAACTTTTTTCAAATGTCTGTGAAGGCTGCTGTTATTTGTCTTTATGGATAGCTTTCTCTCTTACTCTAATTTTCCCTCCTCCTAAAAATTAATTTTTAGTTATTCTTTGCTGTGATTTTATATTCTGTCCAATTTTCTGTCCTGATACTCAACTTTGTGCAATTATGATTTTTCTTTACAGTTATGTTACCTTTTAACTTTTTTATTTACCCTCAAATGATGAATACTTCCACTGTATGTCTACTGATCTATCCTTGAATCTAATTTGCCAGCTCACTTCAGCTACCTTTGCTTTCATACCTTCACGGTTGTATGAAGACCATCTCTTTATTTTTGATTGTGGACTTGAGAAAAGCCAAGCATTGTTGAAGGATTGCTATGCTTTGTAAAAGTGAGTTCCCTCCACATATTGTAAGTGCTGTTTGCACTACTGTTTGTAAAAGCAGTGCATTGCAGGTGAGACGGAGCCTGGCCGTGTATATGAAGGGAGATTCAGCTGACAAGAAGTAGTTGATTGGTCTGTGGCGTTTCAATGATTGATAGAGCTCATCTGTCTGCCAACAATTACGTTTCACTCCCAGGTAGCTGGACACCTTGTGAGTGTGAGTGGTTAGGCAGAATCCATTGGACCTTTAAAAAGGGAAAGCTGTCATTTTCTCTGCAATTAAAAAAAACACTTCAAGCCTGAAGAAAGCCAGTTTATTTTCCTTCATCAGTTGCTGTGAGCAATAAGTTAGATACTTTATAAGCTTTGAACCAGTCACTGTGTGCTTGCTCCAGGTAAGTGGAAGTACCTGGAGAAGGAAGATCAAGGAGCAATAAACTGAAACTAAACTACAAATCTACTCCAAAACCTTAGAAACTAAAACTAAGAACTGTGGGTGCCAGACATCTGAAACAAACAAAAACAGAAACTCAATAAGTCTGGCAGTATCTCTGTAGACTAAACAGTTAAAATTGAGGAGGAGCTGGTCCTGACAAACCAAAAGGATCATCTCCGCAAACCCTGTGAACAACTGTCCTGGTCCTTCCCTCTACCCATGACACCCACTTTTTTGTTTGCGTATATCTCCATTTGAGGGTAGGAAAGTTTAATGAATGAGTTACAGTTTCAATCAGTAGAGTTTTGTGTAGCCATTAGTAACCTCAATTACTTTGTGATAATGAGCTTCCTAACACTGCTGTAGTGCTCTAAAAGCAGAGTTCCAGATTAATCCTTTAGGTTTTGTCTATGTATGTCGGTGAGGTTGACTGTCATTCCTGTCTTTTTTTTAATGCAGATTCTGTTGTGACCCTCACCTAACTTACTTGTTGGTCGTCTGATCACTAATGTTCTTTATGGAGCGAAACTGCCACCCTTACTCTGTCTGGCTTATTTGTAACTCCAGATCCACAGCAATATGGTTGACTCCAAACTGCCCTCTTGGCAATTAGGGATGGGCAATAAATGCTGGCCTAGCCAGTTGACGCAAATGAATATAATCTAAGAAAAATGCCAACATCAAGTTCACTGCGATCACCGAAGATCTCAAGCTGATTTATTTTGGGTTCTACATGTGAACTCTATAACAGTGCTGTGTCTGATTTGAATTTTGTTTGTTGATTTACTCCTCCCTTTGCCACCAGAAACTGAATGTTGGGATGCTCCTGCTCGGCTGTGTGAAGGAAGTAACTGATTTTGAACTCGTCGTTGGTTTACCCCATGGGCTCACTGGTTACGTGAGTCTCACCAATATTTGTGATGCATATACCAAATCCCTGAGGGAACAGATTGATGAGGAGCTGTCCGAGGCAAGTCTGTTATCCTTCTCTTATTTTATCTCTGGGTTTCCTCTTGTACACCATGTCCTGCTGGGATGCAGGGCTTTGCGCATCAGGATCTGGGCTACTTCAAGTCCTCCCTGTGTTACTGTCAGAATTGTCATTGTCTCTCGGGTGATGTGGGGGTATGCTTCCAGGTTTAAGTAAAAACAAAACTTCTGCAGGGACTGGCCCAACAGCATTACAGTTGATAGTGGTGACAACCTTCCATCTCATAAGATGATGGTTTGCGACATGGCAGTGAGCTCTCAAACTGTAAAGGCTAAAGGTTCTTGTTCATCATTCTGCTGCCCTTTTGTTTCAGTCCCCACCTTGTGTTGTGGGTGTGTCTTGCTGGTGTACAGACTAAGGTGCAAGCAGAGCTGCCTGCTGGATGTCAAAACCTGAACAAAAGCAGCAGCCAGTAACTTAACAAAGCATTTTCCTGCAGACAGACGCATCCAGAAAACTGGATTGGAAGGAGGCCAACTCTGCAGAATTGTCAGGAAAGACTGAATGAACTAAGTGCTTTTCTGTACAAAACAGAAGGCTGAGGGGGACCTGACGAAGACTTTTAACGTAAAACAAAGAACTGCGGATGCTGGAAATCGGAAACAAAAATGGAAATTGCTGGAGAAATTCAGCAGGTCTGGCAGGATCTGTGGAGAGAAAGCAGAATCAATGTTTCTGGACCCTTCAGCAGAACTGAGGTCATGAATGGGTCACCGGACCCAAAGTGTTGACTCTGCTTTCTCTGCACAGATCCTGCCAGACCTGCTGAGCTTCTCCAGTAATTTCTGTTTTTGTTAAAGATTTTTAAAGTCCTGAAAGGTTGCAGTAGTGTGAACATAGAGAAGATGTTTCCACTTGTGAAGGAGAAAGTTAAGAAATGTTTAGAGGGATGTGGGCCAAGCACAGGCATATGGTACTAGTTTAGTTCGGAATTGGAGTTGGCATGGACTGGTTGGACTGAAAGGTCTTTCCGTGCTGTGTAACTGTGGCTCTAAGGTTATACAGGTCCGATAGCTTCTGTATTATGATTTCTACAGAGGGGCTTGCAGTAGTGATGGGGGATTCTAGAGGCCTTTAAGGTATTTTCTTGTTAAACTTGAAGAAAGCTTTCTTTCTGTGTGGAAACATGAATGAGGGATTTTGAAATCACAAATGATGTTTGTAAGTGATGGTTAAGGTGTACCACCAGACATTTTTAAGTGTTGCTGAGTTTTGGCTTGTGTATTTGTGCTGCTTTCTGATGTTGTACTTCTGGTCACTGGCCTACTATGTTTCATTCCCACCGAACCATAGGACCTGGTAGCCCTCTCAGACCTATACAGCCCTGGTATGGTTGTACGTTGTGCTGTCTATGAGCTGGGAAAGACAAAAGCCAACCGCCACAGCTTGAAACTCTCCATTAACCCGAAGGATGTAAACAAGGCATTGTCTCCTGGGGCACTGCAAGCTGGCATGGTGAGTGTATCGACATAATCCAGAATTCCCAGATCTAGCTCTACTAATCTGACTTGCTGCTGATCCAGGGGAAACAGTTTAACAAAATGCTTCCTCAAGTTTAACATTTCCAGAACTAGTGTGTTTGTTACATACTTGGGGAACGCTTCGTGGGGTCATTGAGTCACACGATAAGGTGCCCCAGTTTCTTGTTCAGGAGCACGCTCATTATCCACAGTGTATCTTGGATCTAACAATAGGACAGACTTGTGAACTATTTTGAACTGAATGCCACACTCGTCATACAAGACATCATTTTAATTCACTTCAAACTATTCTTTTGCCTTCAAGAACACTTCCTGGCTCTGAATTTTGATTTTGAATCTTCTGTCTTTTTTTTCTGATCAATGAAAATGGCTGTGCTGCTCCTCTGACACAAACTTTTCCTGTAAACCATCAATAAAACCAGCTCCCAATGCAGTGAAATAAGGAACGTATTCCAATATTGGGAGAAGTGAATGTTTTATTGAATGGGTGCAGCACTAAAGGAGGCATTTTAGCCCATGATGTCCATGCTAGATTTTTGTAAGAGCAACTCAGCTAGTTCCACTCCTCCACCTTTTCCCTGGAGCCCTGCAAAATCTGTCTGCAGTTATGATCCAATTCCTTCATGAAAGCTTCCATTGACCCTGTGTCCTCCAAACTCTCAGGCAGCACATTCCAGATCTTAACCACTCACTGCACTTAAAATAAGAGATTATTTCCTTGTGCTGCCTTTCATTCTATTTTCAGTTACATTAAATCTGTAACCTATGATCCTCAATCCATCCACTGACGGGAACAGTTTGTTCCTAGCTTTTCGCTCCAGACCACTCATGATTTTGAAAACTTCTATCAGGTCTCCTGTTGCCCTTCTCCTCTTCAAGGGGAGCAGCTCATGCTTCCCTAGTCTAATGATGTAACCGACGCCCCTCCTTCCTGGAACCATTCCTGTGAATCTTTTCTGAACCCTTTTGAAAACCTTCCCATCCTTTCTAAAGTGTCATGCTCAGACTGGACACAGTGCTCCAGCTGAGGGAAAGCCAGTGTTGAATAAGTGTTCATCATAATTTTCTTGCTCTTATTTATAAAGCCCAGAATCCCAATGTCACCTTCAGTAACCTATCCATGTGTATCCCCGGGTCTCTCTACTCCTGCAACCCCTTTAGAATTGCACCCTTTGTTTTTTCCTGTCCATGTTTTTCCTACCAAAACGAGTCAGTTTACATCTCTATGTTAAATTTCACCTGCCACGTGTTCCCCTCTCTCATTTCACCAGCTGTCTGTATTGTCCTGAAGTCTCTCTCCTATCCTCTCCATAACTGAAAGAAACTCAATTTATGTAAATCAATTGTCATCATTTGTTCATGAGCCCCAGACTCTTGTAGCAGTGCAGATTGCGGGTGGGTTATTACAGGAGGATGGTGTATCCTGTGACCAGGGAGTGTTCTGTGTTAGGTTGTGGAGTGATATTTGGTGTATTTTCTGTCTGCTGATGTAGTGATGTTTATCTCAAGTTAAAATCAGGTTGAAAATAATTTGTGCTAATTTGCAAATTATTTTAGCATTCATTTAAACACCTGGTTTTGGTGAATATTTTTAAAATAAAACCTATTCAATTCCTCATCTTTAGCTCTATATGTGCTATCAATTCTGAGAATCATTTCAAAATGTCAGTGTGAAGATCTGTTGTTTCATTTAATCTTTCCCACAAAGACTAGTGTGAGGGTATAGGAGTTACCTGGGGTTCATTCCACTGACGTTCAATAGCAGGGATGAACGGCAGAGAGATGGACATTCAATCTGTCTTGGTTTGTTTCATTTGTACCAACTGCTAGTATTGTGTACTGAGTGCCATGCTTCTCTGTCTTTCTTACTGCAGTTGCTTTCTGGCTGTGTGTCCAGTGTTGAAGAACATGGCTATCTGGTTGACATTGGAGTCAAAGCCACCAAAGCTTTCCTCTCGCACACGAAAACCCAGGAGTACGTAAAGAATAAAAATCAAGGTGCGTGTTCTGATAATCTGAGGTGAACCCTCTCTGACATACTGTGCTGCTCTCTCAACAGACCAGTCAAACATATAAATCGAGCCAGGTTGATCCATAGCACCAATTTCCTTAGAGGTCTGGTGTCTGGCTGTTGGGAAACTGTACCTAGTTTGAGAGATCTCTGAGGTTTCTGTAACTTGTGTGTGATTCCTGTGCACTTACACTGCTGACCAGAGACTTCAGTTCATTTGGAATACCTAGGAAGGCTGAGGATTTGGTTTGCAACTGAAAAATTGTCTGTTTGTTATCCTTGCATGACTCTGCATGCATCTTAATAGCTTGATAATTGGACCTGGCCAGCAGTTTATGTTGCAAGTTTGAGGTTCCAACTGGTGTGTTGTCCTGCACTCTCTTTCCTGTTTGTTTTGCTGTGACATTTCTGTATTTATCTTGTACCAAAGCCTTGATGTCTTTGCTCCCATTTAGGCATGCCTCTCCGTGTTGGTCAGTATCTAACCACTCTTGTGGAGTCGGTGAAGAATGATGGTCGCATTGCCCAACTCTCGATCCGTCACATTGACGTTGCTGCAGCGACAGCAACTGAAGATCAGAAGTGGAGTCTCTCCAATCTGCTCCCTGGGCTGGTGATCAGGGCTGAAATTCAAAAGGTGCAGATTTTAGGAATATGCGTTGTCTCCCATTTCTTTTTGTAGGGAGAGAATTAGGATGTGGGGTGACCTGCTGGAGGTCTTTAAATCATGGAGGTTTGATTAGATAGACAAAGAAGATGCTTCATTCTTTCGGGGCGACCAAACTCTGGACCATGAAAACAAAATACAAATAAATCCCAGTTGGGATATTAGAAGGAGCTTGCTCACCCAGGGAGTGGTGAGAATATTGAGGTGGTTAATGTGGTTGAGGTGAATACAGTTAAGACAAGCCCACAGAAATCAAGCAACAAGCTTATGTGGATCATTCACACTGCTGTAAACTGAGTTCCAGCACAGAAACAATAATACCCTCTGGATATACACACAAACTTAAGTTCAGACTGTAAATGAGCCCCTTATGTTGGACACGGGTACAAGAAGTTAACATGTGGCCTGTGACCTTTGATCTGAGAGCAGAGATTGAGGGTAGGGCAATAGCCATGATGTTAATCAGACTCCAGAATTTGAAAGTTCACTGGGATACTGTAAACACTAA